TTTTGTTAAGTGTTTTGATCATAAATGGGTGCTGTTTTTCATCAAAGGCTTTTTCAGCATCTATTGATATGATCATACACTCCTTATTTTTTAATTTGTTTATGAGGTGTATCATATTAATTGATTTGTGTATGTTGAACGATCCTTGTGCCTTTAGGATGAAGCCCATTTGGTCATGGTGTATAATCCTTTTAATATGTTGCTGTATTCGGTTCTCTAGGATCTTATTTAGGATTTTTGCATCTGTGTTCATGAGAGATATTGGTCTGTAGTTTTTTTTTGTTGTTGTTGTTGTTTTTAATGTTATCTTTACCAGGTTATGGTATCAGAGTAATATTGGCCTCATAAAATCAGTTGGGAAGTATTGCCTCCTCTTCGATTACTTGCAAGAGTTTGAGGAGAATAGGTATTAAATCTTCTTTGAATGTTTGGTAGAATTCACTGGTGAAACCATCTGGTCCTGGACTTTTACTTTTTGTAGGTTTTTGATGATTGTTTCAATTTCCATACTGCTGATCAGTCTAGTTAGATTTTCCAGGTCTTCTTGATGCAGTCTAGGAAGGCTTTATCTCTCTAAGAACTGGTCCATTTCTTCTAGGTTATTAAATTTGGTGTTATATACTTTTTCATAGTATTCTTGTAGAATCTTTTTTATTTCTGCATTGCGTGTCATAATTTCTCCTCTTTCATCCCTGATTTTATTTATTTGAGTCCTTTCTCTATTTTCTTTAATGAGTCTAGCCAGAGGTTTGTCAATTTTATTAACCTTTTCAAAGAACCAGCGCTTTGTTTCATTTATTTTTTCTATTTGTTTCTTTGTTTGTTTTCAATTTCATTTATTTCTGCTCTAATTTTGGTTATTTCTTTCCTTCTGCTGACTTTAGGCTTCATTTCCTAGTTTTTTAAGATGAAACATTAGGTTGTTTATTTGCACTCGTTCTTGTTTTTGGAGATAGTCCTGTAATGATAGAACTTTCCTCTTATGATCACTTTTGCCATGTCCTAAAAGTTTTGATATGCTGTGCTATCATTATCATTCATTTCTATGTCTCTTGATCTCTCTATTTATTTCTTCTCTGACCCAGTTATTCTTCAGTAGCATGTTATTTAATCTCCATGTATTTGTTCTTCCTTCTTTCTTTTTACACTTGATCTCCAGCTTCAAAGCGTTATGATTAGAGAATGTGGTTGGTATGATATCAGTCTTCTTATATTTGTTGAGGCGATCTCTATGTCCCAGTATGTGATCAATCCTTGAAAATGTTCCATATGTACTAGAGAAGAATGTATAAGCAGCTGTTTTGGGAGCAAGGGCTTTGTAAATGTCAGTTATGTCCAGTTGATCTAATGTGTCCTTTAAGGGGAGAGATCTAGAGACATCTCTCAATCTGCCATGTTTCTGACTTCACTCTCTAAAATTTTGTAATTTTTTTATATAATATTATTAGAGACCATTTTAATAATGTACTTCTTGTTTGATATTATTAAAGTATGTATAATGAACATTTAATGCTATTCTTTTGAACTTGTTTCTAGAATCAATTTGCTGTATACTTGTGATAAGAAACAATAACTTTATAAGTATTTGTAATGTTGTCAGTTTTATACTTTTATAATGTTCTACTTCTATAATCCTTATCTGAAAAAACTCAGTTATTTAAATAAATAAATATCCTGAGGCTCATCTTTATCAATTTTGATTCTTTCAAAACTTGTTTTATGGCTTGAATCTTAAAATTGATGAATTAGTATTTTAGTTATAAAAGCATCTAATTAAGTTTACTTTATCTAAAGATCTCCACTTTTTCCCAGAAAGTTAAGGTATTTTTTCCCTTAATCTTTAAGGTCAGCAAAGGAAGCAGAAGACAAAATAAAAAAGGCAGTAGAAAAAGGAGAAACTCTTCCTACAGAGGCCAGATTTGATTCCAACTGTATTACACCAGGTAAATTCCCTGAGGAAAAAAATTGAGAGATTTAACAATGTAAATGTAAATTTTTTTAAATGTGTTTTTCTTTTCTAGTATCTACTTATTTTTGTCCCTAAGATTCCATTTGCTTTATTTTTCCAATCTTGTCTCCTCATAAGATGGTTTGGTCACCTTGGTAATAAGTGCTCCTATGAAGACCCACTGTAGGGAATTACAGATGTTGATAAGAGCAGCTATAGACGGAACTTCCCAGCTGCACAGAATTATAGACCTAAAAAAACTTGGAAGACCTGTCCTACTCCCGCCATTTATTTGTTTGAATACTGACTCAGTGAGGTTGCGGCTTACCCAAGTTTATGTAGCTATCTTGTTGTATTCAAAATAAGAAACCTATTCTCCTAGTCCAGAGTGCTTATTATTCTATGTCTCAAAGGCAGTTAAGATTTCTGTGACTTTAAGGATAAATGGATTTATCAATATTATGTTTAATTTAATTTTATATGCAACACCATACTCTGTACTTCTTAGAGCTTTATCTAACATCATTATAATTCTTTACTTTGAAAAAAAAGTCTTAAAATTTTACTTTTCGGTGAATTCTTTACTAACTCTGATAATTTTTTTTTTTCATTAAGTGCCCTAATCACACAGTGCTTGATTTAATAACCAGTTTTATTTTTATTATGGTTTAAGACTCTATTGCCTTGACTATTGACCATCTCAGCTTTTCATAAACATAATCAGTTTCCAGATTAATAATAATATTCCAGGTTAACAGTAGAAATAATAATAGTTGCCTTTGTTGTTTTTATTGGCAACCTGATTGAAGGTGCATGCCTTAAAATAAAAACTTTATAATCCAGCAGAGGAAATAGAAGATTGAGGTTCATTAGATAGTTGAAACTCTGTCCTTGTGTGAAAATATTTGAAGCATAGTCCTGAGGCAGTAGTAACATTCCTTTACTTTTGCTATGTGATGTTAACTTCATTTTAGGGTAACCAGTGAAATTAGAAACAGTTGTGATATTTGCTAGTGAAAAGTACGACATTGCTTTTCTAGATAAGTAAAAGAGCTTTTGACCTTTGGAAACCTTGCACCTGGCTGTTGCGTGGATACCCAGATCTAATTCCATGTTGTCACTGGGAACTCACTGTTTTTATAAACTTTTTATTTATAGGGACTGAATTCATGGCCAGGTTACATGAACATCTGAAGTATTTTGTAAATTTGAAAATTTCTACGGACAAATCCTGGCAAGGAGTTACCATCTACTTCTCAGGCCATGAGGTTATTATTATTATTTTTATTTAAAGAGGTTTTTTAAACTTATTATTCTGATGCATATTCCATTACCGCATTAAAAAAACAAAAAACATTGTATTTAGACTCCTGGAGAAGGAGAGCATAAAATCATGGAGTTTATCAGATCCGAGAAAGCAAAGCCAGATCATGATCCGAACACCAGACACTGTCTTTATGGTTTAGATGCTGATTTGGTAAGTATAATGTTTGTGGTTATTATAACTTTATGTCATTATAGTTAAATACCTAAGATTCTTAATCATATATAAGAAGCTTTTTGGATGGGGAAACAAATATCAGAGATATACTAATGCTTGCTATTTCTGCCATTACCAAAGCAATTGGAAAATGAGTTCTTTTGCCATATGTTATGATCAGCAGGTCTCTACAATCATTCACACTTGACTGACTCTACTGCTATGAATGATCTGCCGAGGTCAGGGTAGAGGGTCCCTTTTTGCACTCAATATATAACTTTCAATACCACCTGATTTGATAACTCCATGACCCAAATAATTTTACTAGATTTGTTTTAACTTTGTTATGGAACTTTCAACATAAAAGTAGAGAAGATAGTATAATTAACCTACTTGTGTACTTTATCCACTTTAAATAATTTTCAACTCTTATCCCTAACCTTCTATTTCCTTTCTTCTTCTCTTGATTCTTGAAGCATATCCCAGATTGTATTATTTAATTTATAAGTATTTCATAATATTTTTCTAAAGGAAAGGGTTATTTAAAAAAAAAAACACAACACCATTATCCCACATAACACAATGTTAACAGTCACTGTTTAATATATAAATAACCATTTAGTATTCTTATTTCCCTGATTGCCTCCTTCATTTCGTTTTGTTTGAATCAGTACTAATAAACAACATACATTGCAATTGATTGATATATCTCACTAGACTATTTAACTTACTTTGGAGATTAGACTACTAAATGAATAGATTAACTGAAAATGCCTTTTCCAGTTTTTTCTGAGATTTTACATACTGGAGGTATCGTGGCCTCCAGAAGAGTTCTACATTCTTCAGTCAGAAAAGCTGCTGCCTTTAATTTCTTCTCTGTTCCCCTCATGGCAAGTTGAAAGGTGTGAAAATCAAGAGAAAGTTTTCTGGATTTTTTTGTTGGGGGGGCAGATGATGATTATAAAGGTCATGTGAGTGTCTAAGGTAAACATTTTTTTTCTTAGAAAAGTGCACTCACTTTACCCCATTAATAACCTCTAAATGGATAATATTTTGATTTTTGTATATTTAATGTGCTAATAAATTGTGTCATTTTCCTTAATCACATTTGTTATATGGAAATGATTTTATTTGATTGCTTTTTATAAACCTGATAAAAAATGAGAATAGAAACACTTTTTAATCATTTTTCATCAGATTATGCTTGGGTTAACAAGTCACGAGGCACAGTTCTCACTTTTAAGAGAAGAAGTTCGGTTTGGTGGCAAAAAGACACAAAGGTAAATCACATTACATATATTTTGGAAGGAAAAAAAGAAATTAAGAATAGTAATCCCTAAACAGATTAGGATCTGTAAATATTTTCTCACATTCCATGGGTTGCCTTTTCACTCTGTTAATAGTGTCATTTGACGCACATAATTTTTAATTGTGATGATATCCAGTCTATTTTTCTCTTTTGTTTCCTGTACTTATCGTGTAATGTTCATGAAATCACTGACAAATCCAATGTCATAAAACTTTTTCCCATTTTATTCTAAGAGTTTATAGCTTTAGGTCTTATATTTAGATCTTTGATCTGTGTTAATTTTTGTTTATGGTATAAGGTAAGGGTCCAGCTTCATTCTTTGCATGTGGATATCTGATTTTCCCACCAGTATTTGTTGAAAAAATTGTTTTTTCTCAATTGAATGGTCTTGGGACTCTGGTTGAAAATCACTTCACCAAATACATGCAAGGGTTTATTTCTGGGCTCTGTAGTCTATTCCATTGGTCTATATATCTGTCTTTATGCAAGTACCACAGTATTTTAATTACTATAGCCTTATAGTAAGTTTTGAAATCAGGAAAGGTGAGACCTCCAACTGTGTTCTTTTTCAGGATTATTTTGGCTATTTGGAGTCTCTGAAGATTAACAGTTTTTAGGATGGATTGTTTTATTTCTGTAAAAATACATCCTTGAGATTTTGATAGGGATGGCATTGAATCTGTAGATCCCTTCGAGTGATATTGACATCTTAATATTAAGTCTTCCAATCCATTAACATGGAATGTCTTTAATTTCTTTCAGCAACATGCTGTATTTATAGTGTGCAAGTCTTTTGCTTCTTTTTTTCCTTATTAAAAAAAATTTTAATATAGTTACCATGCTATACATTTATCCCCAGGACCTATTTAACTTATAACTGGAATTTGTACCTTTTGACCACCTTCACCCATTTCACTCACCTCCCACCCCCAGCTCTGGGAACCATCAGTCTGTTCTCTGTATCTATGAGTTTGGTTTTTTACCTCTGGGTTTTTTCTTTTGCCTCCTCGGTCAAGTTTATTGCTAAGTGTTTTATTCTTTTGGATGGTATTGTAAATGGAATTGTTTCTTAATTTCCTTTTGGGATTCTTTGGTGTATAAGACTCTGGTGTATAAAAACAACTGATTTTTGTATGTTGGTCTGCAGCTATGCTGAATTTGATTTTTAGCTCTAGTAGCATTTTTGTGGATTCTGTGGGATTTTATATGTATATAGAATAATGCCATCTGTAAATAGAGATAGCTTTACTTCTTCTTTTCCAATTTGGGTGCTTTTTATTTGTTTTCTTGCCTCAGTGCCCCCACTAGGACTTCCAGTATAATGTTGAATAGCTATAGTGAAAATGGGCATCCTTGTCTTGTTCCCGCTCTTGGAAAGAAAGCTTTCTGTCTTTCACCATTGAGTATGATGTTAGTTATTTTTTTTTAAAATACATTCTCTTTATCTTATTAAGGTGTTTTCCTCTATTCCTACTTTGAGGAGTATTTTTATCATGAATAGGTGTTAAATTATGACAAATGCTTTTTCTGCTAAATGATTGTGTGGTATTTTTTCCTTTTTATTAATATGGTATATTACATCAATTTTTTTTCTTATGTCGAACCATCCTTGCATTCCTGGGATAAATCCCACTTGGTCATCATGTGTAATCCTTTCAAAATGCTATTGTTAGCTTATATTCTTACCTGTAGTTAAAGTTGGAGTATACGCTAAGAGCCAGGAAGAATATAGACCCGTATACCATACCAGGGAAAGATAAGAGAAAGAAGTGATAGTACCCCACCATTGAAGTCTTGGACTGTACTCAGTAGATATAAAAGTATGTACTCACTTATCTATTTGCTTTCTGCTGGTGGACAGCCTTAAATGGGTCAGATCCCACTGCTTTATTATATCTATTACATATTATTTATGCTTTCTCACTTCTGAGAGTCCTTCCACAGATGTAAACCGATTATTTCAAACTTCATGTTATATGTATTACAATTGCTGTTATATCTTTTATCTTTACATTACCCTGTGGCTTTTATATAAATTACATGCCTTGATTACAAGAATTAATTACCTTCTAATGATGTTTTTTATTTTAAGCTTTGCTACATTTTAAATTTGAACCTTAAAAATATAATTAACTCTATGTTGATTATCTAACTAATTACAGAGTATGCGCACCAGAAGAAACCACATTTCACCTCCTACACTTGTCTTTAATGAGAGAATATATTGACTATGAATTTTCAGTATTAAAAGTAAGTATTAATGTAGCTTTGGATCGACGATGTATATGCAGATATTTCCATAAGACTTGATTTTTTTTCTCCATTTTACTGTAGGACAAGATCACATTTCAATATGATATTGAAAGGATAATAGATGATTGGATTTTGATGGGATTTCTTGTTGGCAATGATTTTATCCCTCATCTACCTCATTTACATATTAATCATGATGCACTGCCTCTTCTTTATGGAACATATATTACCATCCTGCCAGAACTTGGGGGTAAGAAAAGTTTACTATTCATTTTAGGTTACTTTAAGTTAGCACTCAACTAACTCTAAAAATGTCACTCAGTTTATTAGATTATTGCATACACAACTAAAGTAGGAAAAAATTGGTGACTTCTTTTGGTCCAAAGCACCAAGCTCTGAGGTTATAGTTTTCAATAGTTCACAAGTAAAGAAAATGATCAGAATTATGCAGTGTCATTTATTGATACCTAACTAATCTCTGCCTTTGTTTAAGAAAGTCAGTAGAAGTTATTGGTTTTACTTAGCTCCTTTCATATTTAAGCATAGAAATTCAGTTTTTCTGAATGGGTAGGTGTTATAGTATTTAATATGAGGGAGAGATTTTTCAATTAAAATAAGAAATTAACAAACAGTGGTGATGCTGAATAAAACAACAGAGTAACAGGATATTAGTCCTTTTCAAGGTAACATCAAATGAATGATCCTGATGGAGTCTAGAACATATTTAATTTAATTAACTGTTACTAAATGTTGGAAACGTGAAAGGATTATTATTTTGTGAACCTGGAATTTCTTATATTTTGCTTCAGCTCTTACTTATTGCGTATTATAGGAATATCAAGTTCAAAGAAATTAGGACCAGTTATGTAGCCCAACACTAAGTGTTTTTCTTTGATTAGTAGAATGTCAATATTCAACATTTTATTAAAAGAATTTTGTAGAGTTGTTTAGAATAAATAATATCAGCTCTCAGTACAAATTTAGATTTTGTTCCTTTTAGGTTATATTAATGAAAGTGGCCACCTCAACTTACCTCGTTTTGAGAAATATCTTGTAAAATTATCAGATGTAAGTAACCTGAAGTTTTTGTTTTACTATCCCAGAGTAGCTATAAATGGTTAGTAACCAATTACATAATATCAGAGGAAAAAAATTTTTTAATTCTAATCCTATTCGTCATTCTGTATAAATAATTTCACCTAAATTATTTTTATTTTTATTAGTTTTTTATTTTTAATTTTCAGAATAGTAGATGAGGTCTCCATGTACATAAAAAAGTAAAATCCTCTGATTTTCTGTGCCCCAGAAGCAATCTCTGTTGTAAAAAGATTTGGGTTGTATTCTTCAGACATACTTAAATTATTTCTAAATGAATTTAAATATTTCTGTACAGTTCGATCGGGAGCACTTCAGTGAAGTTTTTGTGGACCTTAAGTGGTTTGAAAGCAAAGTTGGTAATAAGTACCTCAATGAAGCAGCAGGTGTTGCAGCAGAAGAAGCCAAGAACTACAAGGAAAAGAAAAAATCAAAGGTGTCCATTTTTTTAGGTGTCCTTTCATTTTTTTAGCTGTAAAGGTAAAACAGATATTTCTGGTTTCTTATATTCTTACGATTTTGGGATGGCCTCATTTCATTTTTATTTCTTCTTCTTTATGAACATTTAAATTTTTGTTTTGGTTTCTTTTTCTATTAGATCCTATCATTTAAATCTGTTTTTAAAAATCAGTTTCTTATTTTGACCCTTGAAGAAAAAAATTGTGTTTTCTTTGCTCTTGTGTTCTCTTAATAGGTGTAGAAAACATTTTTAAATGTAAGAGCCCAGAAAATTAGTTATCTTTTTTTAAAATGTGGATATTTATAGCATTTAATGTTATGAGACATTAACTAGATCAGTGATTTTTCTCTGAAATAATTTGTATGTAAAATCATGCATATATATTGCAGCAATAGGCCAGGTTAAGAGTTGATTAATAGCACAATATCTGGTAAATGTTAGGTGCTCAATAAATGAATAAAAGAATTAGTTATAATGTGCTAGTACCCTGCAAAACATCTCTAATAAGCTCTTAAGGAATGTCTGAAAATGTGTTAGCTTGTAAAGTAAACCTCTTCTGGAATTTTCTTCAGCTTATCTATAATTATTGGATTCTGATGAAATCGGTGAGTTTCTTATACTCTCCTTTCTGTACTGGTTCTATTTAGGACTTTTGCTCTAGGAAGGGCAACTATCTTGATTTTTCTCTAGTAAAGTCCTTTTAATTGCTTAGCTTTTTTTAGTGGAACTTAGCAGCAGTCATTCTGTGTTCTACTTTGTGTTTTTTCTCTTAAGAAAACAGCCTCTGCAACTTTTGGAGAACCCATACTCACAAAACTTACATGTCAGTAATCCCTGGCTCTGCCCATCTCATCTCAATCTTTAAGCTCCACAAATCTTTCAGGTATATTTAGTTAACATTAGAGACACTGATAAAATGAGAGGAGCTGGAGGAACAACCCAGGCGCAGAAAGTTGGCAGAGGCCCTAGTTTGGATAAAGAAAAGGAAATGATGGGAGAGAGTAGGAAGAACCAAAGAGAGAATGAGAGTCACTGGCAATAGATAGGCAGTCAGAAAATAGAGGAGAGAAAAGATGAAATCACAAGGAAGGAAAAACAGATGGACAGGATAGGAAGGATGTGCTAAGATGGAAAAACTATAGAAAAGCAAATGAGTTGCCTGGAAGAAAAATTTAAAAGTGGAGGATAGATAATAGAGTCATAAAAATAATGGAATCCAGAGATACAGACAATAGGTAATTATAATTATTGTATTCCATCATAACAAATATATTGTGTTAACAGTAGCCCAGAATTTGAAACATAAAAATGTTAAACTCGATAAATTATAAAAGGCTTTGATATTGATCATATACTTTTCTCTGAGTAAATGAAATATTCTGGAAGTGTTTATTCTTGAAACGTATAATTATATTTCTCTTTTATATTGATGAGAATTATATATTTTGGAGGCCTAAATATTAAGTTCTACACATAAAAATTTATAGCTTTAAAAAACAAGAGATATAAAACCAAAAAAATACAGTATTAGAAGTTTATTTTTAAAATAAACTTTTACAGTGTGTCACTTATGGATCATTCAGTTATTTTTAGTATTTTTTAAATCTTCCTGTTAAATGTCTCACTTTGAAATATACCTTGCTATTAATTTTATATTGATTTATAATTTTTATAGAGCCAGGAAAACTCCATATGTTGGGCTGCATTAGATAAAAATGCACAAGTGGTAACTTCTAAGGGTGAGTGTATTTTAATATGTTATTTTTTGGATAGAATAGTTCTATCTTTCCTTTATTAGTACTAATTCATTAATACTAGATAACTTATAAGCATCTGCTTTGATATGTATTTATCAAATCTTTAGGTGGAAAAACAGAATATTCATAATTGTCGGCCACTATCTTTCTGGCTTTTTTTTTCAGACAATTTAGAAGATGAGACTGAAGATGACGACCTATTTGAAACCGAGTTTAGACAATATAAAAGAACATATTACATGACGAAGATGGGAGTTGACGTAGTGTCTGAGTATGTTTTTGCCAATACTTATACTTTAAAGTAGAAAAATTAAATTTTGCAGTTCTTCATAAAACAGTATAATTTTGATAGTTAAGATAGTGGGAAAGGACGATTTTTTGGTTTCATGAATGTTTCTAGATCTTTTAACTAGCCTGGTTTTTGAGAAGGTGATATTAATTGACGTGTGTTGAATTCCTATGATAAAAATTGCCAAATGGAAAATGATTACTTTTTGGCTTCTCATCTTCTAAAGCTCATATCACACTTACTTCAAAGGCCATTTGGCTCAACTCCGGGTTAATAGCTAGTCCAAAATTTTCTTAAGAACTTGATCTCTAGAATGTTGGCTTTTATCCTTTTAGATTGCATCCCACAATATGAATTACATGTTTGCATTTTATTTATTTTTATTAACACACACAAGGTGCTTACCAAGTGTCAAGCACTATTCTAAGTGCTTAAAATAACTCATTTAATTCTCACAGTTCTTTAAGATAAGTAGAATTATTATTTTATAATAGAGAAAATTAAGGAATGGAGAGATTCAAGTGATTTGCTCAAGGTGATGTGAATGGCAGAGCCAGGATTTGAACATAGGTATTCTGGCTCCAGATCATATGCTCTTAACCACTAAATAAGACTGCTTCTCTATATATTAAAATAAGAGTTTCAGGACATGCTATGTTCCCTTGTTATATGCAATATACTTAGATACATTATCAATACTATTATTTTTACTTTTTTCAAAAATATAATAAAGCACTAAGTATTAGATCTTTTTTAATGTATGCCTAGGTTTAGACCTAAGCTTTCAGATGTTGTCCTATACATTCTCAGTCTGTCTTCAGAATTGAAGGGTCTGTATTCATACTGATCTCCAGTAACTAGAGATACAGAAATTCTAGTACAGTTCACCAGCTTATTTGAAGCTTTATCCGGTGGCATTAGCATGTAGGACTTTTGAGATTTGAGAAATAGAATATTTAAAATAGTTATGCTTTTAATCTTTTATTCTTTAGTTCTTATAATTCCTTGATTACAGTTATATAGAACTATAGTACCTGCAGGAGGCACTAAATGCTTAATTTCATGGGCAACTAGTCTCCCACTTTATTTCCCTTCCTTTTATATAGTCAAATATAGACTTTTGAAAATGAGATACTATTTGTTAGCCTAGCAAAGAGGCAGATATTTTTAAATTGTTATATTTGCTGTTGGTCCAGGGTAGTGGTAGAGTTCTTCCCTTAATTACTGGTGAGAATGTAAATTAGTAAAATTATTTTGGAAAGCACATATCCAAAAACCTTTAAAAGATTTATCCTTTTGATCCAATAATTCTAATTGTTAATCTGTCTGAAAAATATAAATTTAAACACACAAGGATGTTTATTACAAAGTTTTTTGTAATAGTAAAAAATTAGAAATCTACATTTCCAAAAAGGAGGTTCGTCATAATCATGTCTACCTCCTCCTCATCAATCAGCATCTCTGCCATCTACACCAAAAGCTGCAGAACTGCTAAACTTGTACTTATAGAAAGTCCATAACAACTTAGAAAACTTGTATTAAATACAAGTTTTAAAAGTAAGAAACAAAATTATATTTATATATTGTATATTCTCCTTAAAGTAAACCAACCTGGGCATGTAAAAAAGACTGAAAAGAAACATACCAAATATAATAGTGATTGCTATAAGGTGATAAAAATGCTTTTCTTCACTATCTAGATTTTTAATACTGAGGAACTATTTATTTTATAATGAAAAAGATAATACACTTAATTCTCAAAAGCGTACCTCCTAGAAAAATGGAGACCTGGAATATCTAAGTTCATTTCTCCATGAATTTTGGTAACAGACACTAACAGGTTGATAGCCACTTTTGGCTTTAGCTCAGGGCTCTTTTTGTTTGTTTCCTAGTCAAGATTTATTTTACCTTAAATGACAGTTTTTGAGAAAGAAGGGATTAGAGGGAAAATTGTCAGTGGATATAGCACTTTCCAAAGTATGTTCTAGGGAGAGTTGGTGCCAACTTTATAGAAAGCTTCATTGGCTAAATCCTCAACCTTTAAACCAAAGCATAGTATATTGCACAGCGGGTTTAAATATTCTGGTAGTCAGTTTAGGAAAACTATAATGCAAACCTTTAATCTGACAGTAAGGGATTTTTTAAAATAATATTTTGGAGGTTTTCTGATTATAATTATTTAACTTATTTATTGATTAAATAAAACATTGAGGCAGACTATAATATCAGCAGATAGCATGCTCTAAAGACAATGACCTGTCTTCAAAAAATGATGTTATAATTAAAATATTTTCTGTTTTCAGTGACTTTCTGGCTGATCAAGCTGCATGTTATGTTCAGGCAATACAGTGGATTTTGCACTATTACTATCATGGAGTTCAGTCCTGGAGCTGGTGAGGGAATAAACACAAAAATAAACATTTTGTTTTTTCACAATGGTTCATTCTACTGTAATATCATTTGGGAATCTCTTTACCTTTTATTTCTATTTATGGAGATTTTTTTTTTTTTTTAAAGATACATGCAGCCAAGTTTAAATAAAATACAGGTAATCTCTTTTTATATGAAAATACTTTAAAAAGACCTTTGTATAATAGAAGATACTTCCAGCCCTACCAGATAGCCCATAGCAAAAGCTCTTTGTTAATCTAAGGATTTAAAATTCTCTATCATGATGAGTCAAGTGTGACAAATTCTTTATAATTATTGGGTCTGAGTGACCCTCATATAGGATTGTTTGGTATATTCTTTTCTACATTTTGTATGTTTGAAAAAATTTTTCTCTCAGGAGTAATTATTTGAAGAGTCAGTTATTTGAATGTTAGACTGGGAAGGCTAAAGAAGAAAGGAAAAAGGAATTATTTGCTTTTCATGGTAATAGTTATAAATTTCCTTTTCTCTCATATTTCCTGTTCTAGCAAGTTCCATCTACATTTTCACATCATCCACCAAAATCGAAAAATAACAAACCAAAAAATGATACAGAGAAAAGTAGAGATTTTTAGGCAACGAAATAGCTTATTTTGTTTTCATAGCACCTCAGCTAGGTTTTATTTTAAAGCACCACAGAGCAAGACAAACCAATGTGAGATAATGTGGCATTAATTTTATAACTTTACATACTAATAACTTTACATAATAATTTTACATACTAAATCTTTGCAATGACTAACCCGATTCTTAGGACCTGTCTGAAGAGTGTTCTAATGATAAAAAATCTTTGATTTGCCATTTTTTAAGAGGGTGAGTATAAGTTATTCCTATTATACTACCAGACAGTAAGGCCAGGCACTTAAAAAATATGTTGTCATATAGTCCTCACACCTATTTTAAACTAAGTTGTATTCTCTGCCTTTTTCACATGAGGCTCAAAGAGGTTAAGTAACCTTTCTACAGTCATATACACTCAAGAATCAAATCCAAGCCTATCTGATTTCAATGTCTATATATTTTCCGTTATTCCATATGCCATTCTACCTCCTGAACATTTCCATTCTTTTGAAATATGCCGTAATTGTGGAATATAAAAATATTTCTTCATTTTTTTGGCACCCTTAGTCAAACATTAAGAACATTGAAATTTTCAAAAATTGTATGTGCGAAGCTTCATACAAATATTTATACCTGTAATTAAAGATGGGGAGGTTAAAAACAAAAATAGTGTGTATGATTGATAAATGGTTTAATCCTATCACAAACATTACACACACACACACACACACACACACACTTAAATATAAAAGTTCTTAGAGCTGACTGGTAAGAGCCGTATGAGCTCAGGTTCACTGTTCTCTCTGTCCTCACGGGAGAGGCCCAGGCCCATGTGAACTTACTGAGACTTCTGAGTACCTCATTACTTCATTCTAAGAATCTATTAATTGGAAGATACACATCAACATTTTGGGAACTAAAAGAACTATTATGTTATATACATCCTTCAATTACATTATACATCCCAATGTTGGAAATGTGAACCTCACTTTAAAAATTAAGGAAATAAAGCATTTGTTTCCATCACATGACCTAAATTTTCCAACACTGCTGATTTCTTATATTCAAGTAGTAGAAGTATAGGTGAATTTTTTTCTTTATAATTATTGTCATGTATCATTAAAATAGAATATGGAAATATGTATATTTAATATTGACCTGTTTCATAAAATTGTCAATTGTTTAAAACTCAGTTTTGTTTTATAGGTATTATCCTTACCATTATGCACCTTTCCTATCTGATATTCGCAACATCAGTACACTTAAAATCCATTTTGAACTAGGAAAACCTTTTAAGCCATTTGAACAGCTTCTTGCCGTACTTCCAGCAGCAAGCAAAAATTTGCTTCCTACGTGCTACCAGGTGGGTTTTAGAATTAAATGTTTTTATGTTCTTTTTGATATTTGGGAGCTCCTCCTCCAAACCTAGAAACAGTACTCAAATTTCTTTACTAGCTAAATACATTTTTTATTTTCAAATGCAGTAGTTCTTAAGTTCCTTGAGAAGTAATTTTCTTGATTTAAAGTTAGCTTTGTTTTAAAAATGCAAACTCCACAAACTGTTAAAAGCATAGCTTCTTCATTTTCAGCACCTTTATGCACATCTTCAGTTTGTCTCTGTGCTAATGAAAGTAAACTTGAGACAGGCAAAATCCGAAGCCATCTACTTTGTCCAAACATTTACAGAATCACTCCTGTTCTCTTTTACTCTCTATTAGAATAGGGATTTTTAATAAGTCATTTATCTCAATAGAACTGTTACTTCATTTACATTTGAGTTTTAATCATTTTATTTATCGAATTGTAGAATGAAAGACTTTTCTCTGGTTAATGTATTTCACATAACAGGAGGAAGATATTTCATGGGCGATTGGATCACCAAAAGCCTACTAAACTGATTCTGAGGTTAAATTCATTTTGTTCTTCTAGATTATCAATCTGTTCTTCTAATTCCATGGTCTGGCCCCAGGCATTGGAATAGACAGACAGAAATGTGCACACACACACACCACACACACACACACACACACCCTCCCCCTTGCCGATTGAAAGTATCAGGCTCCCTTCTGCATCTTTCTGAAACAACCTGTCATGTATCCTGGCTCCTCTGGCCTCCCTTTCTTCTTAAGTTTCTTTGATTCCTTTTTCCTACCTTTAGATACATTAAGGATTGATACTCAGTTACTTTGAAGTGGTACAACCATTCAACTGCTTTATAGCTACAAATGTTTTGGCTGTTCTGTGCCCTTGCCATGCTGGTTATTAAATATTTTTGAGTATTACCCTGAGAAATATGCTGTTTTATTTCTTTAAATTTTTTTATACATAACCTTTCATATTCATTTCTTAGAAGACATTTTTATGCTTTCATTATCTAACTCTGTTATAAAATCTCTAATAAAAGCATGTCTTTTTGGACTTTTTATCTTTGCTATTAGTGATGAAGAGATTCTTGAATTTTCTGGTTTTATTTTTAAATTATTTTAGATGACAGTTTTTATATTACTTAATAAAATCAGTTGGTTAAGGTATGAAAATAAATTGTTTAAGGTTAAAAATGGAGGACTATTAGAAGCCTGTGAAATGAAGTCTGAATAGGAAAACAGAATTTAAGGAGGCCTTGTAGAGTGAAAAGAATAAGATAGAAAAGATGAAATTAAATTTCAGAGTACAAGTGGTTTTGCTATATAACTAGTCAATGAAATGGGAAAGTAATGAGTAGCAGTGAAATTAGAAGTATAATTGAAAATCAAAGTATTGCAAGTATATTGCAACATATCTAAGATGTAAAAATGTAGGATGTTATTGCTTAGAAATTTTAAACTGTAAATCTGAGGAAATGTAACTATATTAACAAAAAGCTATATTGATATTAGTTCTTATATTTCTATTACACTATTTTATATTTTTACAGCATTTGATGACCAGAGAGGACTCACCAATTATAGAATATTATCCACCTGATTTTAAAACTGACCTAAATGGGAAACAACAGGAATGGGAAGCTGTGGTACTAATACCTTTTATTGATGAGGTCAGTATATGAAGTATTTATATATACACATATATTTTTAATTAGAAATTATTTTACATAAGTTAATGATCAATGGGTTTAAGTCTTCATTTTTTTTGTTAATGGAGTTTAATTACTCTCTGCTTCATTTTGTGTATCGAAACTTCTAGGAATTTTAATTATAGAAAGCTGGAGTGTTCTCCTTTCTTCCATGATACACTACATTTTCTCAAATATTAAAAGGCAATAAATACCTGGAGCGGGATGAGGATTCCTTGCCTGTCCCTTCTCTCTCTGTCTGCTTCCTCTCTTCTCAAGTTTATTTTTCCCTCATGGTCCTTGAGAGACTTCGAGCAAATCAAAGAGCACCGGTGACCTGAGTCTCCTGAGGGCGTGGGGTAGAAAAAAAGGAAGGAAAAAAAAAAGCTGGAATGGCTTTACTAATATTAGACAAAACAGACTTTAGAACAAATTGTATTACCAAAGATCAAGAGAGATATTTTATACTACTTAAAAAGTCAAGTCAGTTTATCTCTTGATAACATAAAAATCCTAAATATGTATAAACCTAATAACAGAGCTTTAAATACATGAAGCAAAAACTGTCAGAATTGAAAGGAGAGACAGGCAAATCCACAATTATAGTTGGAAATTTCAACACCTCTCTGAGAAATTGGTAGAACAAGAAGACAGAAAATCAGTGAAGATGAAGGCTTAAATAACATTGTAAACCAACTCAACTTCATTCATATTTATAGAACACTACACCCAACAACTGCAGAAGACACATCTTTTTTAAGTGAATTCACCAAGATTATTTGCTGAAATGTAAAATATTACACAATTAATTTTTAAGGGTTGATTATAAAAATAATGTTCTCTGACCACATGGAACTAAATTAAAAATCAATAACAAATATCTGGAAGATCTGTAAACCTTTTGAAATTAAATAACACACTTTGAAGTAAATAACCTATGGATGAAAGAAGAAATTAGAAAAGAAATTTGAAAATATTTGATCTGAATGATAATGAAAACACACCATATCATAATCTGTGTGATAAAACTAAAGAAGAGCTTAAAGGGAAATATAGGTTCCAAATGCTTATACTAAACAAGAAAAGGTTTTAAAATAAATTATGTAAGCTCCCTACCATAAGAAGCTAGAAAAACAAGAGCAAATCAAACCCAAACTAAGCAGAATAAAGGAAATAAGATAGGAGCAGAAATACATGGAAAATGAATGAACAATAGAGAAAAATTGAGACCAAAAGTTTGTTCTTTGAAAAGATGAATCAAATTTATAAATCCTAGCTAAATACAGTGATCAAGAAAGATGGGAGCAGGGAAGGAGGAGAGAGAGAACACATAAATTGTCAATATTAGGAATGAAAGAGGAGATATCCTATATGTTCTACAGATACTTAAAGTATAGTTAAGGAATATTATAAATAATTTTATGCCAACAAATTCAACAACGTAGGTGAAATGAACATATTTCTTTAAAGATAATTTAGCAAAGCTGACAGAAAAACATGTAAAAATCTGAATAGTCTTTTATCTTTTAAAGACATTTAATTCATAATTTAAAACCTTCCCACAGAGAAAATTCTAGGCTCAGATGTCTTCACTCGTGAATTCTAACAAACATTTAAGGAAGAAATAATACCAATTTTATACAAACTTGCAGAAAATAGAAGAGGGAAAAATCACTTCCTCACATATTTTATTAGACCAGCATAATCCAGATACTCAAATTAGACAGGGGAAATATTATGAGAGAAGAAAATTAAACTAAATGGGATCCAGTAGGATTATACTCATGACCAAATGGGATTTATTTTAGAAATACAAGGTTTACAATGTGATTTACTACATTATCAATATTTAACATTCAATTTTAATAGAAATGTTCAACAGACTGGAAATAAGAGAAAACTTCCTCAGCCAGGTTAAGGGCATCTAAAAAAACTTACTGCTAACAACATACTTAATAGTTAAAGATTGAATGTTTTCTCTGTAAAGCCAAGGATAGGGCAAAGATGTCCATTCTAAAAACTTCTCTCTAATGTTGTCTGGAAGCCCAGTGTATTAAGTCCTGGAAAAGAAATAAAGGTGTGCAGATTAGAGAGAAAGAAGTAAAATTGTCTTTATTTGCATGTGGCATTATCTCATATGTAGAAAATTCTAAGGAGTCTTCAAAAGAGAAACTATAACCAGTAAATAAATTTATCAGTTGATCTTCAGAGTCAACATAATCCCAATGAATATTCCAGCAAATTTTTGTGTAGAAATTTGAAATCTGATTCGAAAGTTTTTATGAAATTGCAAAGGATCTGGGATAACCAAAGCAATCTGTAAAAAGAAGAACAGTGTTAGAACTTTGCTTTTCTGATTTCTTGACTTAACCATGAAGCTGTAATAATCAAGGCAGTGTGTTACTTGCAAAGTAATAGATAGGTCAGTGGAACAGAATAGAGTCTAAACATAGAGCTATACTTGTCCAGTTAATTCATTTTCAGTTAAGCCACCAAAGCTATTCAATAAGTAAACAAAAAAGTTGTCGACATTTGGTGCTAGAACAACGCTCCATATATGTGGAAAAAATGGATCTTGATCCATACCTCATACCATACACAAAACTTAATTCAAAATACATCATAGCTCTAAATATAAAAGCTACAACTCTAAAAATTTCTTGAAGTAAACATAGTAGAAAATATTAGTCAAGACCCAGATGACGCTACCCATAAAAAAAATTGAGAAAATAGATTTCATCAAAATAAAAAAGATTGCTTTTCAAAAGAGACTTAAGAAATGAATAGGTAAGCCACACGCTGGGAAAAATACTTGCAAAACATTTCTGTGCTTAGTACTGGTATCCAGAGTAATAAACAACTCTCCAAGTCAATAGTAAGAAGATAGAACCTAGTTTTTTAAGTGGGCAAAATATTCGAAGGACCATTTTACAGACCAAAATATACAAATAGCCAATAAGCACATGAAAAAGTGTTCAGCATCATTAGTACTCAGGGAAATATAAATTAAGACCATAATGAGATAACACTGCACTAAACTCTCAGAAGGGAGAAAAATTAAAGAATTGAAACAATACCAAATATTGGCAAGAATGTGAAGCCATTGGAATTTTTATACATTGATGGTGGGAGTGTAAAATAGTACAAGTAATTTGCCTATCTATCTAGCAGTTTCTCATAAAGTTAAGCATAAAGCTACCCTAGAACCCAGCAATTCTATTTTTAGGTATTTACCAAGAGGGGGAATGAAAAAAAGGATGTTCACAAAAAGTCTTGTACAGAATATTCATAATAACTAAAAACGAAACAACTCACTCCATTTACAGGTAAATGGGCAGGCAAACTGTGGTGAACCCAAACAATAAAATACTACTCGGCAATAAATAAGAATGTACTGCAGATACATGCAACAACATGGAAGAACTCAAAAATATACTAAGCAAAATAAACCAGACACGAAAGATTTCAAACTAATCTTTGGTGAAAAAAAGCAGGACAATGTTTGCATAATGAGTTGGGGAGGAGAAAAAGATAAACTGGGAAGGGACATGCTTTATCTTTCTGAGATGAGGAAAATGTTCTGTATCTTATCTCATTTGGGTGTATGCAGTTGTCAAAATTCATCAAACTGTAAACTTCAGGTCTGTGTATTTCACTGGGTATTAATTATGCCTCAGTAAAATAAATTCCTTTTCTTTTAAAAACATTGTTATTGAGTGAAGGATAAAAATGTTTATTCACATTTTATTTAATTTTTAAACAATGGTGTTTATTACATGTGAAAAGATACTAGCCAGCTACCAGAGGATCAGGTTGCTAGATAGTCATCATATCCTGCACATATGCAAATTTAGTTTCAGGTAAGCAATCACTATTGATCATCCAATTATCACTTTAGTTTATTGAGGTTGAATTTTAATTTAAGTTTGGACATCTCAGTGAGGTTTTAAATGTTTTCAACAAGGTTGCATTATGATATGCCACTGAAACAAAACTTGTAACCAGCAGAATTACCCCATTCTTAGATGTTTTTTTTGGAAGCAAAAGCTCAAAACTTAAGAAGATAGGTATGTAAAATGTGAAAAGAAAAATTCTTGTTACAGGATAGTAAGTGAAAATAATGATGGTGGAAATTACTAAATTGGAATACATGAAAGAATTTTCAGAACTAATAGGACCCATTTGTGCCTCACAAAGGATTATTACACAGACTTTAGTGCTAGGAACAGGATTGAGCTGCTTGGCTCTCATGCATTTATAGTCTCTCCTCCCTTGCCCTCCCCTCCCAACTTTCTATCAGAATGTTCCAGCTGATTGTGTGTGTGCAAAGTAAAGGGATTGTAAGGGGTGGGAGGTAAGTATGGTTTAAAGACATTTTATTTGCTCACAATTCTGAATCAACAATTTGAGCTGGGCTCAGCTAGGTGTCTCTTTTGCTAATCACACCCTGAGGTTAGGTAATCATGTTAGTCATCTTGTGGCTCAAGTGAAGGTGGTTATCTGAGATCGCCTTACTCATGTGATTGGTAGTTGGTGTTAGTTGTGAGGCCTCTATGTGATCCCTCACATAGAGGTTTATTCTCACAGTAATCTTGGGTTCCAAGAAGGCAAGAACAGGAAGTACAAGGCCTCTTGACCTTTGGAATTTGTATAGCATTACTTCTACTATATTCTTTTGAATAAAGCAATTTATAAAACCCACTCACATTTAAGGAGTGGGGAAATAGACTTCACCTTTCGATGTCTAAAGAAGCTTATGTATGGGGATAGGAGGAATTCCTTTGGCCATCTTTGCGAATCATCCACTACAATCTGCCCTTTGGCCAAAATAATTTATATCCCATCCAAATATAAAACACACTGACCTCCCCCCAAAATCTCTTATCATTACACATCAGGCTCAAAGTCCAGAATCTCACCTTTAAATCAAGTCCTTATATGGTGAAGCTCCTCAAATGCAGCTCCTCAGAACAGCTCCCTTGATTCAGAGACCTATGAATTTAAAATACATGTTATCCACCCCCTCCAACATTCCCAATTTTATAATGAAGAGACAAGGACAAGATAACCACAATAAGTCACTCCTATCAAAAAAGGCAGGAAAGGGAGGCACGTAACAGTCACTGAAGCATAACAGTTCTAAAATCCAGCTAAGTAGCATTCAGTCAAGTCCCTGTACTCTAGGAGCAGAGACTGTTCCTTTACTAGAACTAAATTTGTTCTCTGGGAGTGGCTCTTTAGTCTGTGTTCTCCTAGGCTTTTTGCTCCCTGCTCTAGGTTCTTGATGCTACTCTCTAAGATGTTCGGAAGAGAGACAAAACAGGGTTAGTTAGAAGGACAGGCTGGATTACCATGCTGTCTCAACAAAGGCATTGGCTGACCCCATAAGTCACTCTGCAACTGGAATTGTCCATAGAGTTCTTCTAATTTGCTATAAAGGGTCTGAGACATTACACTCTTCATTTATCAGTCTTGGATGCAGGCTTCATTTTGGAAAAGGTGGGTGACCTTCTGTGAGATTACTTTTCACATGAGGGTGTTTTCCAGAGAGAGTGGACAGCTGAAGGTTGTAAGCACCTTCAGCAACTGGGCAGATAAGTCCTTCTCTACTAAGGGGAGATCACTGCAGCACATCACAACATCCATTGCATTATGATACTTGAATGTTATGTTGTATCGTAAAGATGGTAAAATGTTCAAGATTATAAGGATGAGATGCTATGCGTTTACAGGGCCAAATGACCTAGAAAAACCTTTATATTTTGAATGTGAAAAAGGATTAGACTCAAACTTTGAATGTGATACTGGAGAAGAAAATAGGAAATAAGTAAAAATAATTATGAAAATTCAATTTAGTGTTTATTTCTTGAAAGATTGTTAATTTTATTGTATACCTTACTATATCAATGGTATCTTAGAATCAAGAAATTATGATACAGTATTATCTGTTTTACTCCATAATCTCTTTCAGATTTTGCTACTTTCTACCTCTGTCTACAACTTTTTCTATAAATGCTTTGAAAGCGGCATAGATAATTATTGGATTAAAAGTCTAAGAGGCTATCCTAGAAAATAATTCATTTCTTATAAAGTTAAACACAGACTTACTATTCAACCCAGTAATCACACTCTTAGAGTATAATTTTTAAAATTTATCCTAGAGAAATGAAAACATGTCCACACAAAAACCTGTGTATGAATGTTCAGAGCAACATATTTGTAATAACCCCAAAGTGGAAAAAATTTAAATTTCCTTCAGCGAGTGAGAGGATAAACAAACTGTAGTGCATCCATATATTGGAAAACAACTCAGCAATAACTATTGATATAAACAATTTGGAGTGAGAAAAGTTTACTTGAATGAGAAAAGTCAATCTCAGAAGGTTTTATATTATATGATTCCATTTATATAATATTCTAGAAATGGCAAAATTATTGTATTATAAAATACATCAGTGGATGCTGGAGGTTGGGTTGAGGATGGGATGCGATTATAAAGGGATAACATGAGGGATTATAAAGGGATAACATGATGGTGTAACTGTTATGTATTCCAGTTTTAGTAGTGCTTCCATGAATCTACACATACGATAAAAATTCCATAGCACTATACACACAAAAAAATCACCTATAAAAACTAGCGAAATCTGAATGTCTATAGTTCAGTTAATAGTGTTGTGCCAATGTCAGTAGCGATGTACTGTGACTATGTGTAAGATGTTATCATTGGAGAAAGCTGGGTAAAAGGTACATGGGAATGGTTCTGTACAAATTTTGCAACTTCTTGTGAATCTTTGTGTTTTTTGCCACTATACACAATGCTGTGATAAAATTAGTGTTGTATTTATGAGTTCATTTTGTTTGTTTATGCATTTTTATGTATTAAAATCTTTATTTTTATAAGGTAGATTCCCAAAAGTGGATTGCTTAGTTAATTGGAATGTATATTTTTAGTTTTAATGAATATTACTATATTGTTTTTCAAGAAGACTGGTCTAATTCACACCTGTAATATTTGAGTATCCACTTTTTGGCTTTTCTAATACTGGATATTATTGCTTCATTTAATTTTGGCCAATCTGTTGATGATGAAGAATGCCATTTTTTTATTATTGTTCAAATTTGTTTTTCCACAACCCTTAATTTGAGTATATTTTTATATATGTTTGCCCTTTGCATTTTCTATATCACATTTTGTATATTGTTTATTTAATTCCTTTTCCTTATTTTCTTTTTTTGATTTTTTAGCAACTCAGTGTATTAGGCATATTCTTTTCCAATATGGCATTTGTCTCTTGATTTGTTTATTGTATCTTCTGTCTCATACATTTTCTTTCACTTAAAAATGTCTTTTCCCTTAGGCTATTAGGTTTTTTCCTGTTTTAAATAAGAGTTTATCACTCCAAATTATCAATAGTCTCTTAGATTTTCTCCTAATACTTTTATTGTTCTATTACTCTGATACTTGTTTTCGCATATAATATGTAGTTGGGAACTGTATGTACTTGTTTTTTTCCAGCTGCATCAGTAGTTATGACAACATCATTATTTAAATATCTGAATACTACGTTTTTGATACAGATTTGGATTTATTTTTGAACTCTTTATTCTATTCTTCTGGTTTTTGAGTCTATTGTGATATCAATACTAAAATGTTTTGATTATAATAGCTTTATCAAAAATGATAGGATCTAGTAAGACAAGTCCCCGATATTTTTTGCAGTTTACTCATTCATTCTTCCATATGAACACTGACATCATTTGGTCCTTTAAAAATATTTTAAACAACTGTGATTCTGATTGAAATTATGTCAAATGTAAGATAATTTGGGAAGATGAACATTTCTATACCATTACAAAATTTTTAAAGTAAAAGATTAATGCTCTCTGAATTACGGTAAATTATAATTATGATAAATTCACATTTAAAAAATTATTCTTTGCTATTCTTTTCCACAGTTTAGTGACTACTATTGGAGTAATAGGTTCAGAGGAATTTGCAGTGGCAAGCAATATTCTAACAATATTCAAAGCCTTTGAAACAATGAATAATAGCATATCAGTTTTTTATATAATGAAATGGAAAGGAGTTCCATTACTTAAGTTTTTTTTTTTCCAAGAACACATATAATTCTGTATACTGAGGGAAAAGATTTATTCTATATGTTGAAATTAGAATTTTTATACTTTTAACTCCTCTCCTTGATCTTTACATTCAGAAGCGATTGTTGGAAGCCATGGAGACATGTAACCACTCCCTCAAAACAGAAGAGAGGAAAAGAAATCAACATAGTGAATGCTTAATGTGCTGGTATGATAGAGGCACAGAATTTACCTACCCCTCTCCATGGCCAGAAAAGTTCCCTGCCATAGCACGATGTTGCACAAGGTAATGTTATTTGTTAATTTCAACAACCACAAAGAGTCCTCTCTACCGCCAAAGATAAAAAGCTTTTTAATATCTAGTTAGAGAATTAACAAATAATTTATGACAGTTATAGTCAATTTATAATGAGTTACATCCAACTTGCCAAAGACCATAGCATCTCTGTCTCACAATTATTTTTGTTGTTCTCTGCTTTAGTCAGATTATGCCTCTCTCTTTCTATCTTCTGCTAAAGTTGTTTTTTTTTCTTAATGTATATCTGTATTAACCCTCAAAAGGATGTGTGAATTTTTGTTCCCATTGCTAGTGTCTGCTCCCAGTGTTATTTGACATGCTATAACTTTGCCTCTTGTACTCCCCAACCACCTAACTAGAAAGAAGAAAAAAAAAAAAAGAAATAAAAGAGCTCCTCTATTTTATTGGCTTAAACCCATTTCTTCTTTAGCTTTCTCATTAAAATGTCATCCCTGTTTTTTCTCTTATCTTCCTTGCAAATAATGTATTCAGATGGCAGTTGAGTTGCAGATAAAGTGAACATCTTTTACTTATTATTTTTCCTTTTTTAAAACAAAGAGAAAGATGAAATAGACATTGAAAAATGTTTATTTTCCATTCTGGGTTTTGAAACATGGAGGATATGGAGATTTATAATATACTTTACACAATCCTTTATTTTTTAAATTATGTCTATTTGTTGTTTTGTTTTAAATGGATGGGAAAAAACTTCCATTCAGTAACCTACATGCATGGTTATTTCTGGACCAGTAACAACAGGGAATCTGGGTTGTCCTGCTCTATATTTCCTTTGTTTTTAGGGATGAATCATCATCGCCTTCTTTAAAAGCAGGGATGACTCATGCTGAAAAACTGCGATTGCTTGTAATGTAAGAATTTTAAATTAAATGCCTTGATTTATTTTTTAGGTATAAAATAATATCATTAGATGCTTGGCGTGTAGACATAAGCAAGAACAAAATAACCAGGGTTGACCAGAAGGCATTCTATTTCTGTGGATTTCCTACTCTGAAACACATCAAACACAAAGTCAGTGACTATTTAGTTCAGATTTTTTTTTTTACTTTATTGAATGTGAAGTGATTACAGAGAAAGAATTAAAATTACATTCTTTGAATTCTTTTAAAGTTTTTTTTGAAGAAAAGTGGGGTTCAAGTATTCCAACAGAGTAGCCGCGGGGAAAACATGATGTTGGAGATCTTAGTCGGTGCAGAGTCAGCTGAGCTGGTAAGTATTTTCTTTATTATATATGTATTAGGCACTTATGCATAAAACGTCTTAGCTGCAATGCGTTTACCAAAGAAGTATAAGGTAGTGACTCCAAAAATTCATGGTAAATAAGGATGAAGTAAAGAAACATTTGCACAAATTAAAGGATGTGTGAAATTGTGACATAATGAGCAAAAAATGCTCCAGGAATTTTGAAAAGGAGATGAGCCGTGTGAGCTAAGTACAGACTTGTAGACGAGAATAGGCTTGAGCTGGATGCTAAAAAAGATTATCACCAAGAAGAGAAAAGAAGGGGAAAGATATTCTAGGTAAAAGAAATAACATGTGCTAGGAATTGTAATCAAAAATAAATATGATACATGATCTTATTTTTTTAACTTTTTTGTATGTCTGAAATTTTTTAATACTTTTTTTTTTTTTTTTAGAATAAATATGTATGTTAGAAGGAATAGATAAAACTGACTGAAGTAGAGGATTTGTGTTGGGAAATAGTAGAAGATAAGATTGAAAAAAACAAGAGACCAGATTATGGAGGATTTTGAATACCAGGCTAAGGAGTTTGGACTTTTTTTTTTTTTCATGATTGTTACCTTGAAATTGGTGTTTTCATAAAGATTAATTTGGTGGCAATATAGTAGATTAAATAGCACAGAAGAGAAATAAATGGAAGAAAATGGAAAAGGCTACAAGTTCAGAGGTTGTGGTTGTAGAAACATTAGGCAATAAGGACATAATCTGTAGAATTGATAGTAGATCTAGATGAACAAGACTAAATAAAATTGACACTTCATCAGTTATTCAAATCTTGGAGATGAAAAGAAAGAAAATATTAAATATGACTCTCAGATATCCGGCTAATTAACTAGAAAATAATTGGTGTTTACTGGAATAAAGAAGTTGAAATGAGAGAGTCCCTAGTTTGAGAAGATTAATGATAAATAATGATGGAATTTTAAGGTGGTGCTAGGACTTTTAACTGGAGCTGCCCTGCCAGGCTTTCTCAGTAAGGGTTCCACAGAGATTTAAGCCTTAATGCCCTAAGTCATCCATTTGTATATAGATTAATTTATCTTCTGTGGATTTAGAATGGAACTACTTCTGACCAGCCTTGAGAGGACTGAGAAAATAGTCAAATTGTTTTTATTTAGTGTTTTGTGCTTTCAATGAAAAACCTCAATTGAGAAAGCTGCTTATATACAATATAATAATACCTGGGGTTAGAGCTTAGAGGAGATAGGTATATACAAGCCATCAGAAAGGAGGTGATGGCTGAGGCCTTGTAGCTCAGTTACCTGAAGAAAAAGAACTCTGAGGGTTCAAGGTCTCAGCATGAAGAAATACTAACAGTCATAAAGAGTGGAAAAAGAATAATAAAAGTGACAGTGTTTAGAAAGGTAAGAGAGAATTGATTCCCAAATTAAATAGTATCACAGAAGCATGGAGAAGATGCTGCATACAGTTCAAGAAGAATACAATCTAAAACAAAGCCTGTGAATTTTTTCTTTAGGCAGGCATCATTAATGGTCTTTGAGAATTTTATTCCAAAAGGTTGGTCAAGGCTGAAGTCCAATTCCTAAAGACTAGTCTGTGACCATGTAGATGGAAAGCCAAGGTAGCAAGTATTAAGCCATTGGTTAAGAAATTTATGATTTGAAAGAAGACTAGAAACAAAACAGTAGGTAGAAAAGAGGCAGCTCATCAAGCAAAATCCATACAGAACAGAGGTAGGGCTAGTGGAGAAAGGCAGTCTTAAAGACACTGTAGAGGAAAAGGACGTTGATGATAACAAGAACCAAGTGAAGTACTGAGGGATTTCATCTAGGGTTTAAATGAAAGGATTATTCTGGGAAAGAAGGACAACTTTTTCTTTGAAAACTAAAGGAAAGATTGGGAGAATGAAATTAGAAATAGATATATAGAAAGGAAGTGGATAATTAATGGAGCCTAGTTCTAATGTTGAAACTTGTTTTATTTATGAGAATAGTCTATTCTTTTGTATATTCGCATTAATAAATGTCTAAATATAATAAATAAAATTAGAAGCAACCCCTCAAGGTCTAAAATTAATCATCTCTGATTGTTAAATAAATATTGCTAATAATGAGTAAGCATAATAAACAGAAAAAAGTGAATGAAAATTTGTAAACTTCAGTTTCTACCATAATGTTGTTGTCTAACCAATAGCAATAATAATGTTTCCTTTTAAAACCAGAATTTTTAAAAATATTATTTCATGTAGAATATTTGTATTAGCATTTTATAGTTTATAAAAGCTTTTGTGAATATTATTTTATTTTATCCTCAAATAAACATCGTGAGGTAGATGTTATTCTTTCTTATAAAAGAAAACTGAGACTCAGTGGGATTAAATGATTTGCCTAAGATTTTATAGCCAAAAAGAGGTAGAACCCAAATTTGGACCCATGATTCCTTACTTAAAGGCTAGTGTTCTTATTTTATTATATCAACCACAAAGTGAAAAGAAACTAGATACTTAGATTCTGTTTTATACTACTTGGCTGTTTGATATGGAACAGTGAATAATGATAGCTTTTCTAGACATTTCTGCTGCTCTTTTTTTCTCAGTTTCTGTAAGAAAAATATGCAACATAATCATGAAAGTAATGGAATTATAGAATTTTACAACTGGATAGAATTTCGTAAAACAACTAATCCAACTTATTAATTTTACAAATTAAAACAGAAAAGGGACATTCGCTCAACTAGTTAGCAGCAGAACTAAGAACTTAAGTTTCTTGCTGAACATTATTTCTGCTACTGTTGGCTGTTACTGTGGACAGTAACACATTATAGATCAGTGCTCTTCTGTTTGATTTTACTGAAATTTATTTTCTCACCAAGTAATTTCATTCAGAATTAAAAGCAGTAAGCCACTTTTTACCAATTGCTGGCGCTGTTGAGAAAATGAGGAGGCAAGCTTCCTAGTGTCATGGGGTTTATACTGCAGAAGAGCACTCTTAAGTTGGTCATACTTCCTCTCTAATAAGAAGAGGCTGGCAGAGAGGGAGGAAGTTGAACTTGGTTAGCTTTCACAGATTCATACTAAATTAAAAGGTAAAGAAAGGCATATAGGTAAAAACAACTGAAAAATATTTTTTAAAAACAGGAAAGGAAAAAAATTAAAACTCAAAAAAACAGAAATCCTGGAAAATGTACTAGAAAGGAAAAGAGCAGTTAGCAATTAAAGTACAATTTAGAGAAGAGAAATTAAGAAAACTGAGCTTGAGTAGGTGGAATAATTAAGTTGGAGTAAAGTCGAGATCAGCAGAACTAAGAACTATAGGGAATAAGGTACTATAGGAAATAATTGGTTCAAGTGAGCAAATGATATATCTGTTTTAATTATTAATGTGGGGTTTTTATAGATTTTAAATTCATAGTTATAAGTAAGCCAGTTTTTAATTATTTAATTTTGCCTCTAAAATTTTCTCTTGGACCTGAAACATGAATAATGAACTTATGCTTTTTCTTTAAGAGCATAGAAAATGTAGCTTCATCAGTGCTTGGAAAGTCTGTCTTTGTTAATTGGCCTCATCTTGAAGAAGCTAGAGTTGTTGGTATATCCGATGGAGAAACCAAGTAAGATATGATTTATAATTTTTAAATTTATATTGCTTTGCTATTTAATGGGTTTTTGATTCATTTTAACTGATATAATTACTGTAAAAATATTTAGACTCTATAGTGAAAATGAAAGTCCTCTAATCATACCACTTGAAGTTCAACCACTATTGACAGTTTGTTATATATCCCTTGAGATATTTTAAATGAATATATTATTTTTTCCTTTTGCCTTCTTTTCTTTTTGATAGCTTGGAAGTTCTATATCCTAATTCTTTTTTACCAGTTATCATTATATTATTTAGCAAATATATTTCTCTTAATGATAAGAATGAATAGCATATATGTATATAGCATATATATGCTATTTATATACATATATGCTATTTATATATATATAAAACCTTACCTTTACCATACCCCTCTCAGACTTCATTTAAATAATAAATTAATTTTTAAAAAATAATTTAACATTTTATTCAAGTTCACAATCATTTTATCAATGATTATTTAGACAAGTTATTCTCTATCATCTTTTATCTTTATTTCATGTAAATGTGGTCTGATTTCTTGTTCTTTGTTATTTTCAAGTGTCTAGAATTTTCTAAAGTAATTTTTTTTTTTCAGAGAAAATGAGGGGATGTTACGTTTTCTGAATTATTATGTATCCAAAAGATCTTTTTTGTTTTCCTCACATATAGGTTTAGAATTTTAGAGGCCCAGTTATTTTTCCTCAGATTTCTGCAAACATATCTTAATTGTGTTTTGTCATGTAATTTTCTTGATGTGAAATAAATACCAGTATGTTTTTTCCTTTGTGGGTATCTGCTTCTCTGTATGACATTGTGAGGATTCTTTTTAATCATCAGAATTCAGTTCCACTACCTTTTTGATGAAGTTTATCATTCTTTTCCTTTTATGGATCATACGTATAGTCTAAGAACGCTTCACCTAGCCCTAGGTCTCTAAGATTTTCTCCTATATTTTCTTCGAAAAGGTTTATAGTTTTACCTCCTACTTTTACATTTAAACCCATGATCCATTGTGAATTAATTTTTACATAAGCATGAGGTTTAGATCAAGGTTAGTATATTTGCCTATGAATATTCAGTTGCCCCAGCATTATTTATTGAAAAGACTATCCTTCCTTCATTAGATTACTTTCACACCCTTGTCAAAAAGCACATATATGTGGGTCTCCTTCCTAAAAGAATGTTCTCCTTTCTTTTCCATTGACCTATCTGTTTTTTATGCCAGTACTACACTGTCTTGTTACTGTAGCTATATAAGAAGTCTTAATCTTAAAGAGTGATTCCTTCTATCTTATTTTTATTTTTCAAAATTGTTTTAGCTATTTTTGGTCCTTTGTCTTTCCATATAAATTTTAGAACAAGTTGTTCTATATCTATAAAAACTATGGAGAAATTTCGATAAGAATTGTATTAAATCTATAGATTAATTTGGGGAAATTGGCATCTTTATTATGTTGAGTCTTATGATCCAAATGGACCTATTCATCAGTGATTTATTATTCAGCATACAGATCCTGTATATGTTTTGTTAGATTTATACCTAAGTATTTAAATTATTTTGGAGCAACGATAGATGGTTTAATATTTTAAATTTCAGTTTCCCCAGCTACAATTGATTTCTGTATGTTGATTTTATATCCTAGGACCTGGCTGAACTTACTTCCCTGCCTTTTTTCTTGAAGTGTCCAAACCAGTTCTTCTGTAGAATTCTGGATTTATCTGTTCATTTCTTCTTAGTGTCATTTAAGTTGGTTCTCTATCCCACATATTTCCTGTAAACTGGAGTTAGGATAGTGGCTTATAGAATCAAGTTAAACTTTTTAAGCAAAAATACTTTATTGAATTTGAGAGTATTTAATCTTTATATGTTATATATTTAGTTTAGTTTCTTAAAAGAGAAAGAATAGTAATTTGTTTTTAAATTTTTATTAAATATGTTACAAAGTTATATTAGTTTTTTTAAAGTAGGCTTTTTTTTTTTTTTTTTTGCTATTATACAATGTAGAAACTTTTTCACTTTGAAGACTTACTCTGCTAGAACTCTAAATTAAACCACAGATTTTGGGGTAACATAATTTTTATTTTACTTTTTAAGGTTTTACTTGGAAGAACCTCCAGGAACACAGAAGCTGTATCTGGGAAGAACTGCTCCTCCATGTAAAGTGGTCCTTCTTGGAGACAAAGAACAATCTAACTGGATAAAAGAAGTACAAGGAATTTCAGAATAGTGAGTGTCATAAAAAGTATTTAATATCTAGAACTGGAATGTGATTTAATGTACTTGTCCTCCAACTTATTTCCCGCTTAACATAGTAATCACTCTGAATACTGACTACATCTTCATTTTATGTTCTTAAGAAAGTAGTAAGTTATAGTTTAAAATAGTATCTGGTTAGCGGTGGTTATATCCTTGCCCTGTTCATCACGAAAATACTGCATGATGTACAAAAAAGAAAAAAGAAAAGAAACAACATGATCACTTAATACTGTGAATAATAGTTAATAAGTTGTTGCCTGAATTCAAAAGTTAGTTTTACTAACCATAAAGCCATTGAATTTCTTGACCACATGTAAATAATGAAAATGGAAAGGAAAACTGTCCTTTTTTTCACCTTCTCCCCTTCCTTCCCTATACCCAAACCCCATAGGCTCCTAAATTTAGAAATGCAAGGTCTACCAACCAAAAAATTAAGAATCTGACCCTCCTCTGAATGCTAATTTTCAGAGTCACCAGAGCCCTTCGTGTCCCATGATCCCACCTTAACAGTACCTCTATTCATCCAAACACTAGGATTTCCTAAATTAAAACAGAATAATAGAGATTGGCAGTGGGACATGAAATAGTGTCATAAATGTATATCCATCAGCCCTCCTGTTTAAACTGTAATAACATCCATTGAAAATTGGGGAATTCAAGGAAACATCTCTTCTACAATTTTGGAGTTAATGCCAGGCTTTAATATCCTTATTCAAAGATTGATAAAAAGGGAAAATCTAAAAAGGCTATAAAAAACCATCTGCCATAAAAGGAGATAAGCATAGCTCTCAGAGGGTAGAGGTAAAGCATATTTTTGCCTCCCAACTACATAAGTCAGATACCCCTGTTATAGCTCATATTGTTCTGAATTTTCTTGTATAGCACATTAACAAAATTCTAATAATAAATTTGTTTGATTACTTTAATAACTCTTTCCTCCATAAGGGTAGGGAACATGTTTTTGTCACCACTCTATTCTTATTCCTTGTCTGGTGCCTAGGTACTCAGTAAGTATTTGTTTTAATGAAATAGAGATTTTTTAGTTAAGACTCTTTTAATTGAAAATAAAACCCTCATTCGAAATACTATGAGTTCAGTCATTTGTTCATATATATTCAACAATTATTTATTGATACCTGCTAAATACAGTAGTTGGCACTGTAGATGTCATAGTGAATAAAAATCCCCAGTCCCTATACTCATGTAATTTATGGCTGGTAGATGGGAGATGGACATTAATGTCTTGTGTGATTTTTTTGATCAAACTGAGCAATGATATTGCTCCGAAAGAGAATGCTCTGAAACCGCTAATAGAGGGGTTTGACCTAGAGAGGGAGGAATTTACCATAGTCAGAGAAAACTTTCCTGAAGAAATTTGACTAAACTGGTATCTGAATGTGGAGTAGGAGTTAGGAAAAGAGTGAAAAAGAAGCATATTTTAGAATGAGGGAAGAGTTACATGCAAAGTCCCTGTGGCAAGAGGAAAAGCAGTATGTATAATGCTAATGATAATGGCCAATGTGACTAGAGTATTCAAATCAAGAAGGAACCCTATTGAGGAAGATGAGGCAAGCTGAGAGGTATTAGATTTACATGTTACATCATGTAAATTGAAAAAAAGAGTGTTTCAAAAATAAAGGGAATAAGCCATGTAAAACGTTATGAAGAGATTAAGCAAGAGCTATTTTGACTGAGCAATAAGTCTGAAAGCCAGATTAGGGTGGATAGAGGAATGATTGAGAGTAACAGAAACAGACACAGTAAGAATAGACAACTTCTTTAAAGGTTTAGCTGTGAAGGAAACCAAAAGTTCCTGACCCTTTACCTTACGATATTCTTTCCCATTTAGATGTGCTTGATGTTCTATGATGGCAGCAAAATACAAAGGGAACAATCAAGGCAGCAGACTACTGAAATTGATAGTAATGTATGCTGATTCATAGAAGAGAATGATTTCTAATACTTGCCAGTTCAGGATCTCTTGTTTAATCTTGTCAGCCAAGAAGAGTAGATGGGGTTATGTGGGTTCATGAGCACTCAACGTTTATTTATTCTGACCACCATTCTCTTAAGACTGCTTTTCTTTACCTCCCTCATATCATCTCACATTTTGTCCTCTCCTCCCACACCTCCCAAACTATTCAGAAATCTGTCTTCCAAGATGAAATTCGTAGGACCACTGTTGTTCTGCCCCCGAGGGTTTACTTTATTTATTTGTGATTTTACACATTATGTCAGTACAATGAGGTGATGATCTCATGGCTCTAACGAGTAGGAATAATGCTTGTACAGACCATTCTTTGTTCTGAGACTCCTACAGCAAGAATTTAGAACCTATTACTTATCTCAGTTATAGCTATGTATCTTATTAAAAGACATGTTCTTGGTTTTCTGTGAACAGAACACATCAAATATATGAATACCATATTATGTGATTTTATTTTTAGGAACCCTTTAACTATGCACATATGATATGTCTGATAAATTTCTGTATTCCTGTGTAACAGATTCCCTTTCTGATGAAAACCACCATTAAGAGATAGCTGAAGTATATAGCATTGAATGGAATTGGTTTTTGGTTTATTCAGGGAAATTTGATCATGTGTTAAAACAAATGAGAAGAGAGGTGCAATATTCAAAAGAGAAAAAACAATCCATTTGAAGATGGATTTTTAAAGAAGATGAAGGATGGCTCCTCTATTTTAACAGGATGTGATGAAACTGTAGGTTGGCTTGTGTGTTTGGCATGGGGAAGATGAGGAGCTCTCATCTGATGCCTTCTGTTTTCTTTCTAAAGTAGATGCTGAGTTAGCTATTGAGGATGATGTGGGGGAAAGACAAGTTGGTCTTAAGTTTGAGTAGAATGAGGAAGGTTTGAAAATAATCCTTGGGGGAAATAGAAAAATATCAATTGATCAGAAAAACATGGTAGAATTATAGGCAGTATTGAGGGCTTTTTTTGAAGTTGAAGGTCAAGAATTTATAATGTAACAATTGCTCTGTCTTTTGATAGTAGAGTTTATCCGATCAGTCACAGGCTTAGAAAAAGCAGATCATTAGATTTTAACCAGCACTGGATTTTGCCAGATGAGTACAATGGAAAGACAAAGAGGCAAGGAAGTTTATGTTACTAGCAGAAATGTTACTGAAATGGTGGATAATGGAATCTAAATGGGATAGAAAGAGAAGTGAAGAAAGTAGAGGATTAATAGTTTGGGAGAAAGTAGGATCAGTGGACTGGAGATCCCAAATTAAGTTGAATAAGGGTCATAAAGTGATTGAACAAGCAAGTTGAATGGAGACTTTTTAAACAATAAGATGTTCGAGTTAGTGATCTTGAAGGTGAAGCCGTTATATGGGTGATGTCATAGCCAAGAGAATAGGTGACTGAAGTGGCATGGAGGAGAATGTTATCAGAGATAAGGGAGTTGTATAACTACTGTGGTCTTGGGTAGATCAGGTATGTAAACATTGAAGTCACAAAATAGTATGGTAGTTTACTATTAGGGATTTGGATATCACACTGGGTTGTAATGAGAACACCAGCACCGCCTCTTAGCCCTGAAGTACATAGTATGAAAACAAACATTGAAAGGCTACTGCCTAAAACATAGGAAAGTGATGATACCTTCACTTAAGAAGGTAGATATTGAGAATATAATGGACTGAAACAGAAATTGAAGAAGAAAAGAAGACTGGAAGAAGGGAGCAAGGAAATACTTTATGGGATGTTATGGAGAAGATGCATTTAGAGGAAAATTTCGAAAGAGTGCCAAAACCCTTTATTTCAAATTAAAAAAATAAAAAATAGGGTTATCAAAAGATTGGTGATAAATACTGAAACCATTAAAATACAGAATTAATTTTCAAATATTCTCATTTTACATATGATAAAGTTACAAGATAATTTGTTTATAGTTTAGAAATTCAGAGAAGTCTGAAGTGTTTTTTTTTTTAATTTAATTCAAATGTAACAATAGAAATTGTAAAGCAAGATTTCTAACTTGCAAATGACTGGCAAGAAAAAAATCAAACAAAAGAAAGAAGACAGAAGGTAGAAAAGCAAAACAAAACATAGCTTAGGAAACCTGAAAAGATAAATGAAATAAGATGACAGAAACATGACCAAACTAAGAATTGTAGCATTAAATGTAAGTGGCTGTTGTTCCTTAATTAAATTCAGAAGCACATATATCACCATCATCATTATCCAATGTAGCTGACTACAAGAAGTACACCTAAAACCAAAATTAGTAAAGTCTAAAAATCCCTTACCATTATAGTTTTCAGGAAATACAGTTTTATATTTACATTCCAACCTTTTAAAATTACATATTTGGTTCTGCTCAGTCTCCTTAAAAACACATTGTTAAATATACCTGGAAAATTCAAATGGAAAGAAAGCGGGAGTTGCAGTATTAAAAATCAGACAAAATTGAATTGAAGGCTAAAAGAGTAAATGGGGAAAAGGTAACTATTCACAGAAAGTTTATTTCACAGTGTAGCTAGAACAAACAAAACCTTATGCACAGAAAAACATTGTTGACGTATACTTCTATTGGGTGGATTTTGAAATACTTTTTTTCAGTTTTAACATCTCTGAACTTAACATGTGTTCTACAGTGTAGTTTAATTGATGGACCCTTTTTCTTGCTCGACAGTACATAACATAATGATATATCTACAATCAATAATGTCTTAATATCTGCAAGAAAAACTGAAGCAAATTAAAGAACACCATAATTTGGGGAGACTGAGTTGTCTGTCAGATCTAGTAATCAAAAAACGAATAGGCAAAAATAGGATCTAAGCAATATAATCATTCGATTTAATAGTAATAAGTTAGATTCTGCAGCTCATGTAAAAAATAAACCCTTTCACGTAGGTTACTAAGAAAATGCAAGAAATTTTAAAACTACAGAGAGACTAGAATACAGACTACAACAATGACCCCAAAGCAATATAAGTATAAAGTAAAAGCAAAAGTAAATAGATAAAAATTTAAAATTTAAAAGTATTGTCCTAAATAACTGTTTTGGTTTTTTTTTTTTTTAATAGAAAGTTTTTATTGAAGTATATATACAGAGAAAAATATATGTACCAATCATAAGTATATTACTTGATAAATTTTCACATGCATAACCAGAATATAAATCAAGAAATAGAACCAAAAGAAAATTGTGTTAATCTCACAAAGCCCCTTAGACCAAACCTTTCCAGCCATTACCATCCTCTTCTTTCCCACAAGGGTAACTTTTGATTTATAACCCTGGAGATTAGTTTTACCTATTGTTTGAATGTTATATAATTGATTCAAATGTATTCTTTTTGAACCTGACTTCTTTTGCTCAATATTCATCTGTGTTGTTATATACAGTTATAGTTCATTCATTTTCACTAATATTTTAATATTATCTTTTTAATATATAGTTTGATTAAATTTATTTAATTTTGTTTAGGATTTTTGCATTTACTTTCATGAGAGAGGTGGGGCTTTAATTTCCCTTTCTTGTATTGCCCTTGTCTACTATTGGTATCAAGGTTACTGACTTAATAAGTTTTGAGTGAAAGTAGTAGAAAAAAATCCCACTGAATTTTTAGAAAATGGAACCAGAATGCTACATTTCAAAATTTTGTTGGAAAACTTGTTTCTGGCTAAGATGACATGGCTTATTTCAGACCAACCCTACCATCAGTAACAGCACCATATAAGTATAAGCTGCTATGAAAAAAATGAATATATAATAATGTTAATTAACATACACTATATATAACTATATAATATATATTATATAATACACATATAAACACATATACAAAAATTAAAATTATGATTATTATTATGAGCTCAGTAGATGGTCTGAATAGTAATATGGGTATACGAAAAATTGCATCAGTGAGGTTAAATGTCAAGCCGAGGGTTCCTTCAGCACATAGTACAAAAGCACAGTGAGATGAAAAGAGGATAGTCAGAATTTCTAATATCTATCTGATAGGAATTCTAGACAGAAAAAAATGGAAAGAAAATAAAATATCCCTCAGATGAAGAATGATTTTCTTGAGGTCAGGAGTCAACAAACTTTTTCTGTAAGGGCAAGATAGTAAATATTTTAGGCTTTGTAGACCTTACAGTGTTTATCACAAATACTGAACTCTGCTGTTGTAGCACGAAAGCACTCATAAACAGTAAATAAATGAATGACTATGTTCCAATAAACTTTTGTTTACAAGAACAGGAAGCAGTCTGAATTTGTCCCATGGCCATAGTTTGAAAAGGCCCACGAATGCCCCGTCAGCCTTTTTCTGTCTCTGAATTTACCTATTCTGAGTGTTTCATATAAATGGAATCATATAATATGTGACCTTTAGTGTCTGGCTTCTTTCATTTAGCATGTTTTTGAAGTTCATACACATTGTAGTATGTATCGGTACTTATTTCTTTTTGTGGCTGAATGTTCCATTGTATGGATAACCTTTTGTTTATCCATTTATCAGTTGGTGGACATTTAGGTGGTTGTGCCTTTTTACTGTTGTGTGTAGTGCTTCTATAAGCATTTATCTATAAATATTTGATTGAGTACCTGTTTCTAGTTCTTTAGGTATATACCTAGAAGTAGAATTGCTGGACTGTATGGCAATTCTATGTTTAACTTTTTGAGGAACTACCAGACTGTTTGCCACAGCGTCTACACCATTTTACATTCCTGCCAGCAACATAGAAGTGTTCCAATTTCTCTGCATCCTTTCCAACACTTGTTTTCACTTTGTTGTTGTTATTGTTGTTATAGCCTTCTTATGGGTAAAAAACACAGGAGTTCCTTAGCAGCTCAATGAGTTCTCATTTAATCTCACATACATTGGGAGAGGTATCCACAGAGTGGATGCCAAAGAAGAAGGTCTTAAGTCAGGCACTCAGAACTGTTTGCATGTTTATTTAAAGTTTGTTTAACCCATTTCCTACTTAGAAAAAAGTACAGCTTGCTGCCAGCATTAACTTAATTTTACGTAAACACATTCTTTAAAACTGAAGCAAATCTGACTGATTTTCAATGTGAAAATAAAATATAAAAAACCGTTCTTGGAGTTAATTCTAAACAGAACTTGTCTTTCATCCTATTGTAACAGAAATGTATACATAAATCAGATTCATCATACGAATCTTTGGCCAACAACTGTTCGAGAATGATGTTAACATCATATGTAGGAATGCTATGTTTTCTAGGATTTGACATTTTCAGTGATTGAGAATTACTATATTTTGTAAATGGAAATACCACTACTAAAAACAGAATGCTGAAAATCAGCGGTCCCCGATCTTTTTGGCGCCAAGGACCAGTGCTCCTATGAAAATCTAATGCCTGATGATCTGAGGTGGAGCTGAGGAGATGATGCTAGTGCTGGGGAGTGGCTGCAAATACAGATGAAGCTTTGCTTGCTCACCAGCTGCTCACCTCCTGCTGTGAGACCCAGTTCCTAATAGGCCTAGGGGTTAGGGTACCCTGCTGTAAATAGAATGTCATTTGTTTCCAAAGACTATAGATATACTAGAGCAGTTCGAAATGAGAATAAATAAACAAGATATTTCATGGCAGACTTTGGGGGTAAGGTTAGGACTGTAATCTGCGAGTTATCTGGGGGTAAAAGCTGCAGTTGCAAGCACCACCAGCAAGTATTCGTAGGGCAAATGGAAAATGGGTTAAGCACTTGATTATGAACTGGTTGGATGATAATTATCATCTAGAACATATACACACTCATACTTATCTATATTTCTTTTTATTCTTTCTTTTAGTTACCTGAGAAGAAAAGGAATAATAATAAATGAAACATCTGCAGTTGTATATGCTCAGTTACTCACAGGTCATAAATATCAAATAAATCAAAATGGCGAAGTTCGTCTAGAGAAACAGTGGTCAAAACAGGTTCTTCCTTTTGTTTATCAAACTATTGTCAAGGTAAGTCTTCCTTCAGGCCTCAGTTCTATCTTAATGTACGCTATTGCACACCGTATAAAGAAAAGACTATAATCACGTTAATAGAAGACTAATGCAGCATTGTATAATGGAGATTATTTAATATAAGTTACAAAATACGGTAGTCTTTAAAAGGACTATTACATGCTCAGATTCTCACTCTGTGATTAAGAACTTGTCTTTTTCATTTACTTATTTTTTTAACTTAATCTCTAAAAGAAAAGTCACAGCATTAACGTACATCTTATATTTTTAGATTTTTATTCTCCAAAAATCATTTGCCATAAAGTATGTGGTGATCTTGTAATTTTGGGTAAACAGTATACAGTAGTGATTCAGAGCACAGATGCCTAAGTCGACTTTTTAGCTGTGTAACCTTGGGCAATATTCACCCCGTTTCTGTGACTTAGGCTAATAGTGGTCTCTGCCACAGAGGATTGTCTTAAGGATTAAATGAACTAATAAATCTGTGAAGTACCTAGGAGTATCTGGCATATAAGAAGTCAGTAAATTTTAGCAGCTAGTATTGTTATATAGAAAATCTTTACATTTGACATTTGCAGACAATATAGTCATATTCTTATAGGAAAAAACTTGATGTGCAATCTATGAAAGTTTTGACTGTGATGATTTACTTTTGTATTTCATTCTGTGTAGGACATCCGAGCTTTTGACTCCCGTTTCTCCAGTATCAAAACATTGGATGACTTGTTTCCTCCTAGAAGTATGGTCTTTATGCTGGGAACCCCCTATTATGGCTGTACTGGAGAAGTTAGTTCCTGTTACTATTACTAATTGAATTTCTTTCTGGTTTGAAGTTAATACAATTCTCTAACTTCTCTTCATTTAGGTATAAAATAAAATGTAATACCGAAAGGGAAAAATAAGAGAAAATTTATTCCTCTAACTAATGAACACAGTATTTGACTATGTATCTTTAATCTTAGCAGGTTAGGGTCAAGAAGTTGGGAGAAAAAATAATTCATATCCTGATCTCTTTTTTAGTAGTTTGTTTATTGGTGGTATGGATGAAGCAATTCTATAATTATTTTGGATGTATTATTGGGTTGATGAATTTATAAATGTATTGCTGTTTTGCGGAACTCAAGTTCTCACATGGAAAATGTACATGCAGATTTGGAAAGGGAGAATGCAAGAAAGAACCTGTGGGGACATATTAGAATTGGAGGTATAAATATAAACCCATGATTTCTAAAATACACATACATGTGTGTGTATATATGTATATAGGCACATGTATATGGGTGTATATATATGTCTATATATATATATATATATGAATGCATATATGCCTGTACAGACACATATTTGCTATCTCTATTTGTGAAAAGGATAAGACACAAAGACACCCTGGTAGCAATGAACATATATAATGCCTTTATCTCAACCTCTACTCCACTAAATACTGTACTCCACTAAAAAGAATGGGAATTCTCAGAGAAATGGCTGATTACAGATCTAGGGCAGGGTAGGTACAAGATGAGCATGGAACCTCTTGTATGCCAGAAAGTAAAGAAGTGCTCAAAAGAATAATGGGAGCATATCACATTAACACAGGAACCAGGTTGAAGAGGCTCCTAATGGTCAAATCTGGGACAGTTTGAGTATCAAAATATTAAGTACAGTAATGAATTATAACCCATTAGAGAGGGTTATGACTCCATAGTACTAATAAGTAGATAAATGGGGAAGGGAAGACCTCTTGCTTTTAGTATTATGTCAAGGGTGAATATGGAGAGAGTGCTGGAGGTGGAAAATCATCATTTTATGGCCATTATTGTAAAGATCGACTCAGGCAACAGTCTTCATTGGAAGCTAAATCTAGGGGAAGTTTTGGATGAGGAACAGGATGTTTTCATGGTCTTAGAAAGTGTCTCCCCAATAAACTGTTCATTAGTTGCAAAAGAAACAAATACTGTAATTGTACAGTGAAGAAATTGAGCAAAATTTTGATGGTATATTCAAAGTTAATATTACAGTGAGGGATGGATGAACATCATGTATCTCCAGATGTGATACCCTTAGAAGCACATGTCACCTAAGCACTATTCTGGCTCAGAATACATAACCTTAACCTAATCACAAGGAAGCATCAGATAAATCCAAAATGAGTAACTTTTTTTTAAAAGGCAGAGTACAGAGAGAAGAATGAACTGTATTTTTCAAAATGTCAATGTTACGAAAGTCAAAGAAAAGCTCTGGATATATTCTAGACTAAAGGATGCTAAAGAGGTATAACAACTAAATGCAATATCTGATCATAGCCTGCATCCTGTAGGAAAGGGAGAAAATAGGGCAATTTTAGGTCAACTGACAAAATTGAAATATGAACAGTAGTTTAGATAAAAGTATTTTATCAATGTAAATTTTGTACTTAATAACTATACTATGACTATATAATAAGCCATCCTTCTCAGGAAAAATACGCTGAAATATTCAGGGGTAAGGGACATGATAATATGTAATATACCCTCAAAAAGTTCAGAAAAATTATTGTGTATATGTAAGTACACATACAGAGCACAAATGTTAAAGCTAATGTAGTAAAATGTTGATAATAGGGGAATCTGGGTAAATGTTTTTTAAGTGTTCTTTGACCTCTTTTAGTTTTGCAACTTTTTGGTAGTTTGGAGTTATTTGCAAATAAAAAGTTAATTTTAAAAAAGAACACTGGTTAACAGCTATCAGAGCAAGGTACAATAAAAAGCCAGGAATGAAGGAATATACATTTACAATATAATCACATTAACTTACAAATACCAAGAGAATTTTCACTATCCAACTTTATTGTCTTATTATATATCAGAAATAATACTGTTCAAATAAGTAGAAAAATAAGTGAATGTAGTGAAAGAGACTAAAACACACTGTGATTTTTTTTTCCTCCGAGGTTCAAGATTCAGGTGATGTGATTACAGAAGGTAGGATTCGTGTGGTTTTCAGCATTCCATGTGAACCTAATCTTGATGCTTTAATACAGAACCAGCATGTGAGTACTATAGTCCTTATTGTTTAATTTAGACTTAATGAACTTTAAAAATATTAGGATATTTTTGCTACCTCCCATGAATTTATTGTTAATACTTTATTTAATGCTGATTAAATTTCCTCACAGTTGGATCTAGTATTATTTAAAAATAAATGTGGAGTCTACAGCCATGCCACCCTGAACGTGCCCGATCTCGTCTGGTCTCAGAAGCTAAGCAGGGTTAAGCCTGGTTAGTACTTAGACGGGAGACTACCTAGGAATACCAGGTGCTGTAGGCATTAAAAATAAAAATAAAAATAAATAATAATGTGGAATCTGCTCAAAACTTCATGCAGATTTTGAGGGAGGGAATCACTGAAATCCCATTGTTAGTCAGTAATGGTTGTTATAGGTTTTTGTGTTCAAGCTTATAAGTGACACATTGATTAGCATATCCTCTGGGAATAAACAGGTTTTTTTTTTTTTTTTTTTTTTTTAAACCTTTCATAATTATCAAAGCCTGAATTTTTAGTTATAAGCGACAAATGGTCTTCCTGCGCAGGTTATATGTCTCTACTCAGCTAAAAATGAACATTCTCTAGAGAAAATTGGGAAACTGCATTTAAGGTCTTGGAATCCTTTTTCAAGATCTTTTTCTCCAAGTGTTTTCACTAGCCTCATTTCATTTTTTCCTGTTAAAACAGGAAGAGGATCCTGATACCTGTTTTTTGTTTTATTGATTGATTGGATAATTACCTTGACTAAAATTGCTACTTACACTTTTATTTTCTCTAATGGTAAAATCTAAAGCTTTATATCCTGTGGAAAGAATTTAAGGCATTAGGCATCAGCATACCCATGAGGAAGCTTTATGGAAGACAGAGAAGGTCCTAAAATCTTACCATCAGGTCTCTTTTGGAGAAAGAATTCAGAAAGTACAGTCACCAGGAAAGTGGCCCATTATATAAAGAAGTTGGAGCTCTGTTCTGGAAGTCAGTGGAGGTAGAAGAACTTGAATTCCCTTCATTCCTGGCTTTTTCTAGATCCAAAAGAGCCTGCTCACTTCTAGTTTAGTGTTGCTAGGCATGCCTTCTCCAGGATACTTATTTCCTCTTTACATATCTTCTTTAACTTCTACCCAAGCCTTCTTTTTCTACCATAGTATTTTCAGCTTTTTATTTTATATTTTCTAGGATATAATGTGTTTTTAATTAATTATTAATTATTACCACAATGCAATATTTCTCAAAAGGAGTACTATTGGTATTTTGGACTGGACAATTATGTGTCAAATAGGACTGTCCTATATATGGCAGTACAGTTGGCATCTTTGGCCCATGGACACTATTTTAACTGAATGTGCCCCTACACATTTTCAGATATTTATTAGAAAAGTGGTACTACCTGTGATTGAGAACTACTACCTTAGTATTTTCTATCTATTCTGGAAAGCATGCTTGATTTGACTGTTATTTCAAAATCTGATACTATTCTTGGTGGGAAAACTGTCTTGTAGTCTTGTAGTTATTTCTAAATCTGATACTATTCTTGGTGGGAAAACTGTCTTGGTGGGAAAACTGTCTTGTAGTCTTTACTAGCATATTACATATTTTAATAATAACTTTATATTCTAGGCAACTAAAAATTTTTATCCAGTTAGGGGTCACTGTAGACATGATCATTAAAAAAATAATGGTGGCTGAATTAATTCCTTACCAAGCTCTGGAAATTTTGTTTTAATTGGTGATAAAATATTCCTATATTCATATAAAACATGAATATAAAATATATCAGTCATGTATAAATAGTATATTATATATTCATTCATATGAATATAGTATATGAAATCCATATAAAATAAGTATGTGTTATTATTATGTAGATATTATGTTATGAGTATATGATAGCTTATCCTAGTTGGTACTGGATTTGTGAGTAATTTGCTTCCTGGTTAAAAATTATGTGATCTGATACTTAAAAATTTGACAGTCTTCATAGTTTCTTCTATTAAGTTTACAAATTAAGGTTACTTTTCATTGATTATTAATTATGAGCCTATATGTGCTTGTTGCTTTCATGTGATGGTAAATATTGGGGGAAATAAATATTACTTATATCCATGTATGAAGGATACTTTTAATTTTACTCAGTAGCAACTATTTTGATGACATATTCATGTTTTAATTCAGTGTAATAACTATCAAGGCTTCATTTTTGTCTCACTTGAGTAAATCCTACTTGGAATATAAAAATTAATTTTTTAAAAATACAGTTCTTGCCTGCAGCGTTTACCATTTAGTACTTACAGCAGAGTTTACTTCTTGAGACAGTTTCACAAACTGTATAGTTCCTCCTCCTTTCATCCGTCCTTGGGAATTCTGTCCTTTAAGGAGGGGAGGAACAGAAAAATTATGCCTACAGATCCTTTCAAAAAAAAGGGAAATGGATCACTTTTGAGAATTCTTATATTGCCACAATCCAATGGTTAGTCATGTCTTGATTTTCTCCAGATTTTAAAGGTAAAGAAATAACATTTAACACATTGTGTTTCCATAATTGACTTTTTTGTTTTTATATTTAAGAAATATTCTATAAAGTACAACCCAGGATATGTGTTGGCCAGTCGCCTTGGAGTGAGTGGATACCTTGTTTCAAGGTTTACAGGAAGTATTTTTATTGGAAGAGGATCTAGGAGAAAGTAAGTTTATATTAAAGAAATTTACTTAAAGTGGCAGAAAAAAATTAAATGATAAGGATAAAATGGTTAATATTTCAGTATTTATTTCCTCTTATTAATTGCTCTGACTTTTCCTTAAAAATGATGCATAAATTATTTGATGGTGATTTTTCATTCTAAATGGACATGTTTTAGATGGGTGAAAAGACAGTTTTTATTTTAAGCAGCTAACAAATCGAACCTTGAAAAAAGGTATCAAGGTGTGTGTGAATCTCAGTAACATATTTCTCTGCATTTTATTTCATTCTCCTAATTATGTAATCTGTATAACCCTGTTATGCTTTGTTAACTTGGGTTTAAAGCCATTCCTCTAGTTTTTCAATAACTGCTACTTTGGAAATAACCATGATAACTAAAATATAGAACAATCAAAACTAAGTTGTTCTAAAATTGAAAGCAAACCTTTTTATTCTTCCAACAAAAATTTAAAACTATTGTGTGTGGTTTAAATTCAGCCCTCATGGAGACCATAAAGCAAATGTGGGTTTGAATCTCAAGTTCAACAAAAAAAATGAGGAGGTACCTGGATATACTAAGAAAGTTGGAAATGAGTGGATGTATTCATCTGCAGCAGAACAACTTCTTGCAGAGTACTTAGAGAGGTGAGTGTCTAATAAGATCCTATTTGCTATCTTGAAACAGAAATGTAATATTAATTTTGCCTTGCTGATACCAGTTTTAGAGAAAAATGTTTCCTTTAGTAAAATGTGTCAGGTGTTACACATAAACTTAATTTTATGTCATAGCAATTACATAAGAGTCGAAAAATACTGTACTTATTTAAAATGAAAAAGGGTGATGAGAATTAGCCTTTTTTTAATTAAAATTTTCCTAAACTTCCTATCATAAATTATTCACTACTCTGCATGTCTGTGTCAGTAGTAAGAGGATTGGTTTGGATAAACAAAACAACTGTTGGCACAGTGGATTTTCATGAGTCTTAAAATTCCAGCCAGACAAGATTACTATTCTAGAATTAAATTTTATTGCTGAAATGGTCTTAGGAATCACAAATTCAACTCCTCATTATAAAAATAAGAAAACTGAGTACTAAAGTTAACTGAGTTACTCAGTGACAGAGATTTATAGAAAAAAATTTTTACTTCCGATTCATAATTAAATGTTCTTTCCATTGTTCCATAGATTTCTAACCTCATATTTGAGGATTCCTGTATTAGTTTCCCAGGGCTGTTATAACAAAATACTACAAACTGGGGGGCTTAAAAGAACAGAAATTCATTGTCTCACGTTCTGACTACCCGAAGTCCAAAATCAAAATGTTAGCAAGGCCATGTTTCCTCTACAGGTGCTAGGGTAGGAACTGTTTCCTATCTCTCTCCTAGCTTTTTATAGCCTCTTATGTTTATTCTTTAACTTGCAGATGCATCACCCCAATTCTCCGTCTTCACATACTGTTCTCCCTGGGTGTCTTTATATCATCTTTTCTCTGTGTGTCTGTCTCTGTGTCCAAATTTCCCCTTTTTATAAGGACACTGGTCATATTGGAGTAGGGCCCCCCAGTGACCTCATTTTAATTTGATCACCTCTATAAAAACCCTATTTCCAAATAAAGTCACATTCTGAGGTACTAGACATTGGGATTTCAATATGTTTTTTGGAGGAGAGCACAATCATTCCCATATTGCCATCTGGAAATTTAGATTTTTTTTTTTATTCACTCATATTTCTTTAAAATGTCATATTTAGACTACTTTTTCTTGATTTTTCAACTTTACACATGCATTGATTTCCTACCATGAAAGATGAAGCTTTAGCTCTCTTCTACTACCCTCACTCCCTATTCCCTCACCTCCCTATATACATGTACATATCTTCCCTCTCATTATAATTTCAGCACAATTTTAAATTAAATATCTAGTTAAGGTTTACTTGATTAAGATAATGTAAATGGTCATTGCTGGACCTTATAGGGTATTATAATTTTATTTCCTTTCCTGTATGCATTTTTCTTTTCCCAGTCTTATGTATTCATTTGTTCACATAACTAATTCATCTGTAAATTCTGTGCCATAGCTGGAAAACTTAATATGGTCAGACAAATCAGGTCATCTCTCAGTTCCATTTTCTTCTTGAAGGTGTCCTCCTGAAACCTTCTATCTTCCCTTTCCAGTGTGAACAAATTGCTCTCTAGAGCTGTTGTACAGCTCTCATTATAGAGTTTCCCTTTACAATCATCTTAGGAATTCCCTTTGCCATTGTCCTGTATAGGATTCCTGTATTTTCTGGTTTATGTCTCTATTTTGATGGAGCACTTATTTTAGTAGATTCCTGAGAAAGCTTGCATGTCTGAAAGTGTCTTTATTCTTCCTTGATACTTGATAGCTTGCCTGGGTATAGAATCCTTGATTGGAAGTTATTTTCCCGCCAATTTGGAAAGTGTTACCCTATTCTCTTCTTGTTTCATTTGCTGGTAAGAAGTCTTGTGTCATTCTGATTCTGAATCTTTGCCTATGATCTACTTTCATTTACTGAAATCTTTTAAAAAGTTTCCTTTTACTAGTGCTATTTAATAATATGTGCCTTGGTTTGGACCTGTTTTCTTTCCTTTTGCTGTTCAGCCCTTTTAACTTAAAACTGATGCCCTTCCATTTCGAGAAACTTTCTTGTATTATTTCTTTGATAATTTCCCGCTCACCATTATTTCTGTTCTTTCTTTCTTGGATTCCAGATGTTAGATGTTGGACCTTCTGGATTAATCCTCTTAATTTTCTTATCTCTTCTCACCCATTTTCTATATTGTTATACTGCTGTTCTACTCCATGGGAGATTTCTTCAACTTTATCTTACATCATTTGAAATTTCTATTTAATTTAATCATTTTAATTTTAAAGTGTCCTTATTCTCTGACATCCCTTTTTTTTTAGCATCTTATTCTTATAATGAGTGAAATATCTTCTTTTATTTTTCTGAACATAGTAATTCTAGACTTTCTTCTTCTATTCTCTGTATTTTCTGTTTTCTCCAAATAGCTTTGTTTTTTTCTGCTTGATTTGCTCTCTCTTTTCATGTTAAAGATATTTTTTACTTCTCTGGTGGTTCTTAGGTGTCCAATCATATTTAAGAGTGAAGCACTAAAAAGCTGATTAGAAATTTAATTTGCTTGTTGGGGTTTATCAGATGGGGCTTGGTTATTTCTGCAGAGGACCGTCAAGTATCACTACCTATATGTATATCTTTCTTTTGAGGCTGGCTAGTTTTCCCAAAGGGATATCCTTTAGCCTTTTCCTTAGAGGGCAGATGTGGAGAAAAGAACTGACTTCCAGTGTTCTAGATATTAACTAGGGAAAAGGAGTCTCATTACATAGTGGATACACGTCCAAGTTCACCCATCAAGACGGGGACCTGTTTTTTTTTTTCAGGAATACTACTGTCTGACATCACTAAGCTGTGAACTCTCTTCAGAAATAGACTGGTAGAACAGAACCGCCTCACCTAAAGTTACATCCCCTCCCCATAACAGCTACAGTCCAATATTTGATTAACAAGGAGGTGTAAAGGCCCAGCCATTCTGATTGCTCTAGTTCAGGATAAGTCTGAAGGGCCATCCTAGTTTGAGATCTCTGTGAGGTTTGCCAAGGAGTTCATTAAAAATAAATTAATAGCCCAATTTCTCCCTGTGCTCAGTTCCTTTTTGCCTTCCCTTCCACATGTGTTGATTCCACAGAACTCACTAATAAACTTCCTTATGCTTATCTCCGTCTCAGAGCCTGCTTCCTAAAGATATTATGCTTCCTAGCCTGTTTCCTGGTGACATATTGTACAGTAGTTACACTTTCATTAATCCCCTATTTTCAATATGGCACCTATCCCTCTTCCTCACATCCTACCCACCCACCCAACTAGCTGTGCCTGGTATCTCAAGGCTAAAGCATCCCTGTTAGCATCTCCAAAAAATCTTAACTATACATCTTATGCTGGGGTAGAAGATGAGTAATCACATTACTGTCTAACTGCTTATTATACAGAATTTTCAACTAAAAACCTATTAAAGTTCACCCTATACTATAGTGTTAAAATGTACCTGGAGTCCAAAATTCCTGAACTTTCGCAGACTTTCACAGTTCAAATCAACTTGCTTCTTGTTAAATTCCCACACTAGTGGCTTAGGGTGCAGCTTACTTCTGTCTGTCAAATCAGTTAACACTTATCCATCCAGTTTCTAAATTTTGTTAGCAATCCATATATGCTATCAGATTTTCTGTTCTTTTCATCTGTCTTTCTAGGTCTATGCTCTTTTTCTGCTTTACTGTTCTTTTTGTGTATTGGAAAGGGAATAAAAACAAGCAAATGTGTTCAATCTGCTATGTGTATTAGAAAGTCCTATCCTAAAGGAAGCAATGGAGTTTTGAAGAATATCAGAAGAAACTTTAATTTGCCCTATTATGGAGTGCTCCAGCTTTATTGTGAAAATTAGAAAATGAATTGGTAGATATTATTTTTGTCAATTTATCACCTGTCATGATCTAAGAGGGATAGAGAGTCAGTAATTAAAGTTTATAAGTAATTGAAATTTATTATAGTTTATAAATTGATTCATTTCTCCTTCAGCTACTGAGAGTTTTTTGAGAGCCTATAAATACTTTAAAATATTTTAGTCTATCTCTTATTAACACTCTGTATAATCATCAGTTCTCAATATATTTTATATGTCCCCCTAGGACCAAAATTATTTGATAGGAAGTTTATATGAAGTTAGCCATATATATTTTTTAAAGAAATATTTTTGTTTGTTTGTTTGTTTGGCTAGAGCTCCAGAACTATTTTGTTATATAGCCAAAAATAGCCAAGAGGATGTGTTCTATGAAGATGACATCTGGCCCGGAGAAAATGAGAATGGGTAAGCAAATTTTGTGGCATTTATTGCCTCATAGTTCGACTTAGTGGTTCCAGTGAAAGGTACTTTAGTGGTTTATCAAGAATTTATATTATTTTTAGGGGGAAGGTTTTGCATTGTTTTGTTTTTGCTTTAAAATATTAATACATTTTTTTATTTCAATGACATCAGTAAAGTACTTTTAAACTAATTTTTATGATTTAAAAAAAAATACTGAGAATTAACATGTCCATGTTTATATTATATTTAGAATTAGTCCCAATTAAGTGTAGTGATTATTAATTATATATTTGCTGTCTTTTATACTTCACAGTCCTCAGAAAGTTTATATCAGGCCTTTTATATAAGCCCTCAGAAAGTTTTAATCACTGTTTAAAAATTATTGTTTTTAATGTAGTGCTGAGAAAGTTCAAGAAATTATTACTTGGCTAAGGGGACATCCTGTCAGTACTTTGTCTCGTTCTTCTTGTGATTTACAAATTCTGGATGCAGCTATTGTTGAGAAAATTGAGGAAGAAGTTGAAAAATGCAAGGTACAAATTTTCAATTACCAAGATTATTGATGAAATTTAAGTTAAACTCTGTATTATTCTACAAATAATTTATTTGTTCCAACCAAATAAAACTTATACTCAGTGATTTCTAATTTATGTAAAATGATCCTATAATAATTTTTTAAAATATTGCACTCATTTTCAATGGTTGTTAATAATAGGTTTATCTGAGTAAATATAAATGTGTACAAAATCCACAGCATTTAAATTTTATGGCCTGTAGTGTTTCTACTCTCAAGTCTTTTCTTCCATTTATGTCATTTCTAAATTTCCATCTTTCATATCACTAATTCTTTCCTCCATCTGGTAAGCTCTGTTTCCAAAGCTTGCTAGTTTATTCTTCATGTCTTTTGTCGAGTTCTTCAGCTCCAGATATTCTGTTTGGTTTTTCTTTAAAGTTTCAGTCTCTTTTGTTTGTTGATTTTATTTCTGAGTTCATTAAACTGCCTATCTGGATTTTCTTGTAGCTCATTGAGTTTTTTTAGAACTGCAATCCTGAATTCTCTGTCTCCGTCATTTAAATCACATATTTCCATGTCTTTAAGTTTATTTTCTGGAGATTCTTCATTTTTGTTCTGAGCTGCCTTATTACCTTGGTTATTCATGGTATTTGATCGATTATTTCTCTGGGTAGAGTAGACATTTCTCTAGTTAGTGTGATAAGAAGAGATCTTTCTTTTGTTTTCCAGTAGATGGTGCTGAAGCACAAGTTTTCTATTTTCTCTTGTACTGCTCTGGCTTCTCGGATCTCTTTGGGGTAGTGGTAAATGACCTGTATTCCCTGGGGAAGTAGGCATCTCCTCTGTGATGAGGTCACCTCAGTCTCAGGGCACCACACCCCATGGGGCAGTGTAGTGTGCAATGAAGTTCCAAGCCAGTGCAGGTGAAATCCCAGCACTGACCCCTGCAACCAGACACTGCTTACAGTGCTATACTGCTCAAGGTATCCCAGGTGCCTCCCCACTGGGATTAGCTGTGATGGGTGGGGACAGCATAGCTGAGAAAGGCTGCTTGTGCATTTGTGGCTTTGTTCTCCTCCCAGTAATGGCAACTGCTGTTCCTCAGCTGCTTCTCCTCTGTATCTCCACCCATCACTGGGATTAGCTGCAGCGTGCATCTGCCGCTGCCTCTCCACTCTCCAGTTCTCAGAGCTGCAGATAGTATGCTCTGTAATGTGACACTCACTGCTATGGCTTCTTCTGAGGCCCACTCTTAGCTCTGGGAATGTGAAGGGAGGCATCCAGGCTTTGTGGCTCTGTTTTTCTGCCTGGCAATGGCAGTCACCAGACCATAGCTGCCGTACCTCTGTGCTCCTCCTCTACCCAGGTCACTGCGTTCAGTCACAGTTTGTGTTGACCATTCAGGCAGGGACACTCGTGTACATCTCTCTACTCCTCAGGGTAGGGGAGAGGTCATGCAGCAACCTGATTCCTCCCTTCTCCCGAGACCCACAGTAAGCTCCACCCTGTCTCTGCTCTTCTCCCTTCTCTCCTCTCTGTTCACTGCTATTCACCCACCTTCAGATGTTTCAATGCTCAGATCTCTCAGTTGGGTGTATGTGTTGAGCAGGGAATCCGTTGTCGAATTATTGCTGTTCAACTTGTAACTTCAAGGGGAGGGACCAAGAAGACCACTCAGGCTGCCATACTTCTGACATCATTCCTTGTAGTGTTTCTAATTTTGTAATTAATATTTTGTGATTTTAATCAAAATAGAAAGGTTTTGATTGAGAGATAAGGTCAATCCCTATTTCTTCCTATTCTAAGTTCTTTAGAGACACAGTTTACCTTTTTATAGAACATAAAAATTTTATTAACTTCACAAAATTACTTCTAAAATGTACTTTCCACTCACAAACTCAGTTACTAAATATTTTTGAAATCCCATTTAATCTTCCTATTTTTCACATCTTGATTTTTAAGAGCAGTAACTTTCTGTGTAGGCTTAACTATTTTATCTATTTTGATTCTCTACCTTGATGTAATAGAAAATAGATTGATTATATTCCTTTTTCTAACTTTTTATTTTCCACGCATTTGCCTTTTTATAAAACGATGTTGCTTTGCTAACAGTGCTCTAATAGCAGAGTAAGTTAAGAACTGGGCTCTGAAACCATCTTCTCCCATCTATCTTTTAATACTTTGGTGATAACTTTCAGTAATCTTAGGCAAAATGATTAACTTTTCTATGATTTTGTTTTTTCATTGGTAAATGAGAATAAAATAGTACCTACTTCATAGGGTCATCAGAAGGATTAATTGAGTAAACTCTTCCTAATAATGCCTAACTGTGATTAATACCTAATGATGCTTGGCTATTACTATTATTGGAATTCTCTTATCACATATTCAAGAGCTGTGAATACATTCTGGGAAATCATCACTAGATGACCCTATCTCTTTATGAAAAAATATAAGGCTCAGAGCCAGGAGTTTCATCTTTTGAAAGGTCATTGATATTCAGTTGAGCATAGAAAGCCTGCATTTCTTTTTCATTGTCTTTCATTGTAGAGTAAAATCTATTTGTTCAGCATTGTTTTTGAAATGAGTTTTCTACTTAACAAAAGTTTATAACTTTAAGCCCCCAACTTTTATTTTAACCTATTTGGATCCAGAGCTTTCTAAAATGTTTTACACATTTTCCCCTTACTCTGCAAACAAAAGATACAGGTACAAAGTTGTAGTCTAATATTTTGATTACAACATTTTTTAAATGTATTTGCATATAAAGAGAATTTTTTAAAAACCTTTTAATGTGTCTAGGAGGTACAGTTATGAGTAATTTTTTTCTTTTTAGTGTTACAGTGTTATTAAAGTAATAAAGAAAGGGAGAAAAACAAACATAGCATTCTGAACATAATTTAAACTTTTCTTTATAATGCAGGGTCATCATTAAAATTATTAATAGTTTTCTTACTGGAAAGTGATTCTCAAACTCAACTAATTATTAAAATTACTGGAAGAGCTTTTTAAAAAAACACACATTACTTTAATGTGCAAACAGATCACTGGGGAATCATGTTAAAATATAGGTTGTGATTCATTAGCTCTAGGATTAGTCTTGGGATTCTGCATTTCTAACAAGCTTGCAGATGGTCACATTTTGAGTAGCCAGGCCCCAGAACTTCTCATTTAGTGGGTTGGAGCCTATTGTGAAAATTCCCCAGTGTATTAATTTACCTAATGAATCAGCTTAATTGCCATGTTCTCTAATCAATGCTATATGTAATAATGCCTAGGGATATAGTAGAGCATATCTGTACTTTTTTAAATATGCAATTCTCCAAGCATCATTCATGAGTCTGCTTTTTAAAAATTTTTTAAATTGTTTTTCAGTTGAGGTTGACATTCAATATTATATTAATTTCAGGTATACAGTACAGCGATTGGACATTTATATAACTTATAAAGCGATCCCCCCTAAAAGTCTAGTACCCCACCCAGCACCATACCTATTTATTACAAAACTATTGGCTATATTCCCTATGTTGCACTTAATAACCCCATGACTATTTTGTAATTGCCAATTTGTACTCCTTTATCCCTTCCCCACCCTCAACATCCCTCCAATCTGGCAACTATCAGTTTGTTCTCTGTATGAGTTTGTTTCTGTTTTGATAGTTTATTTTATTTTTTAGATTCCATGTATAAGTGAAATCATATGGTATTTGTCTTTCTCTGTCTGCCTTATTTCACTTAGCATAATACCTTCTATGTCCATCCATGTTGTCTCAGATGGCGAGATTTCATTCTTTTTTATGGTCAAGTAATATTCCATCGTATGTATGTACCATCTCTTCTTTATCCAATCATTTTTAGAAGGACAGTTAGGATGCTTCCATATCTTGGCTATTATATATGAAATGTCCTTTGTCTCTTGTTATGCCCAGCTTTTTTTTAATTTCCATTTGCATGAAATATCGTTTTCCATCTCTTTACTTTTAGTCTGTATATGTCTTTCAATCTAAGTTAATCTCTTCTAGGCAGCATATAGCATTCTTGTTTTCTTCTCCATTCAGCCTATGTGTTCCTTGGAGCATTTAATCCATTTATATTTAAAGTAATTTTCGATAGTAGTTATTGCTATTTTATTATTCATATTTTTTATCTTTTTCCTTCTTCATAAAGAATCCCTTTAAGATTTCTTGTAATACTGGTTCGGTGGTGATGAATTCCTTTAGTTCTACTTGTCTGGGAAGCTCTTTATCTGTCCTTCAATTCTAAATGATAGCCTTGCTGAATAGAGTAATCTTGGTCACAGATCTTTACTTTTTATCACTATAAATATTTCATGCCAATCCCTTCTGGCCTGTAAAGTAGCTCTTGAGAAAACAGCTGACAGTCTTATGGGAGCTCCCTTGCGGGTACTTAACTCCTTTTCTCTTGCTGCTTTTAAAATTCTCTGTTTGTCTTTATAACCTTCGACATTTGAATTATGATGTGTCTTGGTGTGGATTCTTTGGGTTTACCTTGTTTGGGTCTCTCTGCTTTTCCTGGACTTATATTTCTGTTTCTTTCACCAGATTAGAGAAGTTTTCAGTCATTATTTCTTCAAATAGTTTTTCAATTCCTTTCTCTCTCTTTCTTCTCCTTTTGGTACCCCTATGATGTGAATATTGCTATGCTTGAAATTGTTCCATAGGTCTCTTAACTATCTTCTTTTTTTCTTTTTCTTTTTTCAATTCTGTTTTCTCTCTATTCTGATTGGGTGTTTTCTGCTGCCTTGTCTTCCAAATGGCTGATTTGATTCTCTGCTTCATCTAATCTGCTTCGCTCCCCTCTGATGTATTTCTCAATTCAGTTATTGTTGTCTTCATTTCTGACTGATTCTTTGTTATAGTTTTTTTGAGGGGTAAGTTCTTACTGATTTCATCTATTCTTACCCTAAGTTCATTGAACAGCCTTATAATCAGTGTTTTGAACTCTCTATTTGGTAGATTGCTTGCTTCCATTTCATTTAGGTTTTTTTTTTTTTTTTGA